CTCCTGAGGATGATTCTGAAGGTGTGGACATCTGGAGGCTGTCTTCTAGCCATACTCCCTGAAGCTGAGTGGCAGTCCCTTTCCTGAATGGAGAATTAGGGCAGCAGCTCCCTGTTGGCCACAGCAAAACAAAGACCTTGCCAGTCAGTCAGTTTATGACTCATGATTTAATATGAGCACATCACAAAGGCATGAAAACTCAGTGCTGTGGATAAGCACTGTTGCCCCACAAATCCTCGAAATCAAATTTTATGAATTTGCATCTAATTCTTTCTGATTTTCAAATGTGATGTAAACCGATATTTAGCTAAGTAATGAATTACGGATATTGAGCATTCCTGAACAGAATTTGAGGCTAAGTACCTGCACAGTTTCAATCTTCTAATGAAAGAATCATTCACACTCACCTATACTTAGGAATTCACTTTGGTGTGAACGGAGGGAAGGGAGAAATAGTTCTATGGGAAATAAACCTAGATTTCCATGATAGCTGCCAACTGTTAGGTTGTCTCCAGAACACTAGGTTCTTTTCTGGGATATAATTGTTCACAGTCAAGCATGCACCTTTAAAAATAAGGTAAGAGTTGTCAAAATTAAGACTTGGATCGCCATTTGGACTGGTCTTACTCTCTTCCTTCCACACATCTAGAATGTTAACTGACTGTTTTTACCCTCTGCCCCTCATCCTTCTTGTGAACCATATTCCTTCAATTACCAGACTGATATTTATCAAATTAAGACTGTAATGATGTTTTATAAAGATGTGCTTCAGTCTTAGGTTGTGACCTGAAAACCAGGAACAAGCCTCAATCTAATTTCTCAGCTGTTCTTCCCCAAATTGCCTGTAGAAAATATGTAACAGGCCAGATTTCTTTCAAATTAAAAACAGAAAAGAAATACAGTTTTGAAACTGGACTCCAGGAAGCACACAGTTTCATACATTGGCATAATCTACGTGACATATTACATTGGGATACAAGGTGGTCAAGTGTCACGACCTCATATTGCAATCCAAGAGTGCAAAACCAAGAGGCTAAGGCACTCCGCTTCTCTGTGTGTATATTGCTGAGGACTGGTTGTCTCTTTGAGTTTGCTTTGTGGTGTACGTGGTAAACATGGCAAGACAAGGAGATTGCACTTTGTTAGTGTTCAATGCCGCACACATTAAGCACACTGTATTTACAATGCATTCTTTGCACCTGCATAGGATCTTATTGGTTTATGCCACAGATTGGGAACCGGGCCTCTCATCCAAGCATGAAGAACTTGTTCTCCCTCAGTTAGTGACACTCTGCCACTGAGCGTCCTGCATTCACAGGTCCAGCACAGCCTTGGGTCCCTTTCCTTGCTAATTTTCCTTATTAGCCCATGAGCTCTGCTCATGGAAACTCTCTCCTTCTACTGTTTTTCCTGCCGCCTGCTCTAAGGGAGAGATTCGGATGTCCTGGTTCTAGAGATCCATATGACTCCCGTTGACAGCATCTACAGTCACAACAACTTGCTTCTATCCATTCTCTAAGCTGAGCACCCCAGACTTCTAAATCATATGGTCACTTGTCACTCTCCCTGGATTGCCACTGTCGTTGGTCCTGGCCTAGGACTATCGGTGGTATGATTTCAATTTTCTGAACGCCTATTTCAGCCCTAACTGTCTTTCTCAGTCTACTTTGGTCAATCAGAAGAGGTTTCAACCTGGTTAGGGTCAAGTTGCTGTGGCTTCTGGAAAGAGGCCACAAGGCTGTCTTCTTCCTAGAAAACCATTGACATCTTGCTCTATGACTTTCTACTGCTTCTATTTTCAATGTCTTCTTCCCACAGCTTCCTGCCACTGTTCTGAATGTGCAAAACATGGATGCACATACAGGGAAGAAGAGGGCAGGCTTCCTTCCCTGTAAATTCAGATGTCCTAACTGCAGCATCAGCATAGAAGCATTTTCTTAAGTACAAGCAAATGCATTGGTATGTTTTACCATTATGACAAGCTCAGTTCATGAACGTTTATTACCTTGTCAAGATACTTTTGTATTTTTTTTGTGTATTGTATTTTTCAGACCACCTTAATGTACAAATACATGAATCCTTGAGCTGGGGATGGAACTCTGTGGCAGAGTGCTTTTCTAGCATGCATAAAACTTTGATTTGGTCCCCACCCCCCCAATAGGAACATCTGTATTAATGATGATTGCTAAATTACAGAAAGGTGATAGGTGTTCATATACATATGTAAATATCCATGTATGACATAGGAACCCTTAAAATAAGATTATCTTTTGACAGTTACAACTTTGACCTGAAGTGCAGCATCTCCCAGGCCACCCTGGTGCAGCTGGATCTCGGCTTAGGGACCTTACATCTGCATGTGAAAAGCCATAGATGAATAAGTCATCTACTTTCCCCATACTTGGAGCTATAGGAGGCAGAGAGACATTTTTCTTCTTTCTTTTCTCTTCCCCCCAACTCAGGTTTTCCAGGAGGACTCCAGGTATGGAATTGGATGATTTTGATGAGGAAGGTGACCCCTCACTGAAGTGGAAGCTCCTCTCTTTAGGAAGAGTCTTAAAGCCTATGTGGGCCATGATTCTGGATAAGCCTTTGCTGTTGGGTAAGGCAATTATTTTTATAGCCTCAAAGTTATGCCCTAATATTTGATTATAATACCTGACCTTTGGCATAAGCTCTTGTGAAACCCATGCTACAACAGAAATACTAAAATGTATCTTCATGCCAGAAGGAAAAGAGCAAGTACTAGAGTAGTGACAGTACTGACCAAGATCAGTCAGTCACAGGCAAGATGGGGAGTGGGGTGGAGAGAGAGAAAGGAATTGAAAGCATACACAGATGATGAATAGATGGTACACTGATCATGAGACAGAGATGGATACAAACATAGATATTAGTGATAGGTAGATAATGAATTATATGTAGATGATAGGATGACAGATAATTCATACATAATGATGATAGGTAGATAGAAAACAAATTATAGTCAGATGCTAGATTAATAGATACTAAATATAAAAAAGATACTAAATATATAAATAAATAGATAGATAATGGGTAAATAATAGAAGATGATAGATAATTGACAGATTATGGATGAAAGGGAGATTAAGTTCCATTTTAATTGTATATCACTTAACTTTTAAAAAAATTACCTTGATAGGATATTTAAAATACTAAGTATAACAAAAATTTTTTCAATTTTTCTCCAAACTTTCCACCAATTATTTTATTATTTTTATGAGCCTAAATAAAGTTAAAACACAAGAATTACGGTAAGAAAAGTAAGTCACAGAAGAAGCACAGTGTTTGCTTTTGTGACTCACCTTGAATTTTTAAAAAAAATTTGTTAACTTACTTGCTTTTTTGGTTGGTTTCTTTCTTTATTTCTGTTTTTATTTTTTTAATTTTTTTTTTCATTTTTCTTTGCAGTGTTGGGGATGGAACCCAGAACCTCACACATGCCAAGCGAGCACTCTAGCACTAGCCAGCCACATGCCAAGGCCAGGGGTTGTTTATTTTTTAATCCAAATTGAGAAATATGAATTTTTGCTATTCTGAAAATTTGATCCTTTATAAAATGAAGAATTTAAGTTGTTAGGTAATTAAATTTTAAAATAAATATGTATTATTTTGTATAACTAATAACTCAAATGACCAAATTATGTGAACATTTTAGATAAACACTAAATTTTAAAATAGTTTTCAGTGTGTTTTCTTATGAGGTATGTTCAATTGATTTGGAAAACACCAAAACTTGATTATAGCTGATGTAAAAAAAAATGATAAAGAAAACTAATGTCTACTGAGGAGGGTTTGTTCCTTTGATTTTTATACATTTGCTGACTCCTTTTTTATATAGATATTTTTTATTTGTTCTACTTAGTTATATATGACAGTAGAATGCATTTATGCACTTTGATATACATAAATAGGGTATAATTTCTGATTGTTTATGTTGTAGAATCACATCCGTCATGAGTCATATATGTACATAAGGTAATAATGTCTATTTCATTCTACTATCCTTCTTATGACTCCTTTTAATATTGCATTTCCAAATATGTTGTGGGCATTTGCTACTTTGTATAAGAGAGTTGAAAAATATAGTTTCACCTCAGAGAACCAGGTAGGGGAGATTGAAGGTAAATTTCTTTAACATAATCTTAAAATATGTTACAGATTTTATATATTTATATTATTTTTCTTAAATAAGTAGCTGACCTAATTCAAAAACAAATGTAGTTGATCATACTTTCTGCTATCAATATCATTTTGACAGATTGAACTGATAAATGTACAGGCTTTAGACTTGAAAATCATCACAACTCTCATTCCCACCACTGTTGGATGTTGGCCTGATGGTTATGCTATCTGCCAAATGAAACAATAGCAAAATACACATTTTTTTCAAGTGCATACAGAATATTCATTCAGAGAGATCCTGTGCTGGTTAAGAAAATAAGCCTTAAAAATTTTGCATGCAAAATGTTTTCTGATCAAAACAGAATCAAACTAGAAATCAAAAACCAAAAGAAAGCAAGGAAAACCCCCCAAACATTTCAAAATTCAACAATCAAATAATCCAGGGGCCAAAGAATAAGTCTCAAGGGAAACAAGAAAAGAGTCTGAACTGAAGGAAAATAAAACTGGGATTCTGGGGAATACAGATCTCGATGATTATCTGAGAGAGGCTGCCCAAGAGTCCTGAGCTCTGGGTGGAGCAAGAGCTTTTCTCTTTATTTTCTCCTGGTTTAAAGAGAGTGTTTTAAACCTCCATGTTAGCCCCAATCATCTTGGGCGTAACAGAGAAGTTTATGAACATTAGAAGTTTAGGAATATTGGGTTTGCTGCTTACAAACGCACTTCATGGGATACTTCAGGCAGCCACGCATAAATGCCACTGCTCTGCAGGAACTGGCTGAATATCAATGAGAAGACAAGAGTGATCACGTGGGCCTGCTGTTTGGCTGGGCTGACTCTGACATCATAGCCTGTCTTCTGAAAGCAGTCCGGGACCTTTTATAAAGTCAAACAGATAAAGCAAATTCTAGAGATGTGCTAGGGACCGGAAAAAAAAAAAAGTACGTTGTTTTCTTTCAGTTGTGGTCACCAGCGGATAAACTGTGTCTCTAGATCCCTTGCTTCATATTTCCCAAAAGTAAGTTCGTCTTGTTTTTGATTTTTTTGTTTTGTTTTGTGGTTTCTTGTTTTTTTTTTTTTTTTTGGCCTTGGGGGATTTTCTTTTTTTCCTTCTTTTTATCTTGTCACAGAATAATAAGGTTTTGTGAACTGAAGGTTAAATATCTGTAGATAAATTAGTTTGAAAATTAATGGGCTATTTTGAAGTGCTTTGATATCTGGAGCTTAATATTAGATAGGTAAAACAATTGAATTAAAATGTGAGGTTTTAACAAGTATGCACGTATGGTATTATTCTAAACCAGAAACTGAGAGTAAGAATAAGCAGAGATTGGCTAACAAGTTGATTATGAAGAACTTAAAAATCTTAAGAACTGACTTGGAAGCCTGAGTTGTATTTGAAGTTATAGTTTTTCACTTTTATTGCACAGTAATTGTGTTTTTCTGACTTTGAGACTGTTTACCAAGAACATTTACAGAAATCTTTTTTATTATCCCTTTCTCTCATTCTCAGGCTCTAAGAATTTTAGAAGCTTTCCAGAATCTTTTCCTCTTTGAATATCATGAGTTGAATCCGAATGTGAAATATGTAGCTTTTCCTTCTCACAGTACTGCTTTGAATGTGCATGGTTTGTGGTAGACAGATGATACATGTTTCTGTAGTATAAACATTTTGTTTTGAATTTAAAAACAGCATCAAAAGATAAAAGTCAAGTCATTCCAGTTGGAAACTATTTGCCATATGCGTATCAAGGAATTCATGTTATCAGTCTTTTTACGAACTGAAGAACATACACCAGTTGGGGAGAATTAAAGTTGTAATACTAACTTACAGTGGAAGATGGAAGGGGTGGGGGAGGGATTGATGGCTCCATGCTGCCCAGGGCTATGGCTGATTCCACAGCCAGAAGATCTCACTCTGAGCCATCTCACTGTCCCCTACAGCCCTGCATGACCCCCTTCTAAGTGCCCATTCATAATTCTCTGCACTAAGAATGCCCATGGGGAGCCTCAGCACCCTCTCATGGAGCAACCTGACCTACTGCTATTTCATTCTTGAAATTTCCTTTCCCTCCTTCTCTCTTTCCACGGGCTTCCTGACCTCTTTTCTTCATCCGATAGACTTGCTTCCAGCCTCAGTGAACAGCCTGTGTAGTTTTCCTCTCTGGCAATATCCTCTGAGCCTGCCTTGGCCAACGGGATGGCCTTTGGAACTGGCCCCTGGACTCCTCACCCCAGCTTTGATTAGGAAACAGCAGCACCCCGTGTGTGATCCTGTCCCATGGCTGGGACAGGGGCTTCAGGTCGGCTCATACCCACTCCTCATCAATTATGGACCAGTTCACAGCAGCCCTGTGTGTCCATGGGGTCTGCAGAGAGGGAGGAGACCACTTACTTCAGAAGTCAGGACTTAAGAGCCGGCTGCCAGTCTTCGCCATGGAGCTGCTGGCTCTGTGGTAGAAGTCCTGACCCAGCCTTCCAAGTCATATTCCTGGCATGCTTCCCAGAAAACTGGTAAGCATTCCAGAATCTCTTTATTTTCTATAATGTAGCTTAGACTCCTCATTCCTCCCACAGGAAAGACCTTACAAAAGCACTTGTGTTCCACAGTTTTCAGGGGAGGCCCAGCAAATCGTATTTGTATAGTGTTGGTTAACTGGGGCTATGGAGAGAAGTGGTAATAGTATTAGCCTCTGAGGAATTTTGTATCCCTGCTACAATAAAATGTAGATATATATTCCTCTACTAATTCACACACACACACACACACACACACACACACACTCCTCTACATGTTCTTTACTCAATGTCAAATATCATAAAACTGATTTGCTTCTTTATTAGAGGAAAGTTCTGGTCTACTGCTGTTGTAATCCTTAGAGGAGAAGGCAGTATCCATAGAAGAAAAATGCTGCTCCTTGCAGGCAATTTTAGGTAAAGTATATAGGGTGTTTCATAGAGAACTAACCCCACAGAGGACAAAGGTTGGTGAATTCTTAATCCAGCAGAGGCCAACCCAATCCCAATTGAGGGGAAATGCTTACCCTCTACCTCGAACACAGTCCCAAACATATCACTCTCTATTGTTGGAAAAATTATTTCACTATGTACTTTAAGTTAAAAATTGAACACATTTCTAAGTAAGAACGACTAGAATGATCGGGTTGGAACTCAGCAGCAAATTAAAATATCTAGACAATATTTGTAAGAAGACAGAGATAGTAAAAGATGTTAAGCTTTCATAAAATAAGTCATAGTTCCCTGGGAAACTCCAAAATTTAAGAGTGACCATTAAAGAACTGTAAATACCTCTCATATCTTTGGTACAGGAGAGAAAAGAAGAAATTTTTACCAATTTAAAAAGAATTTATAAGGTATGAAGATAGACAGAACTAAAAGCAAAGACAGCATAGGTTTAATAGGAAAATAAAACACAATGCATGATCATCCCAAACAAAAAATGCATGCATAACATAATTCACTTCATAAAATATAGCTACCAGTTTAGATTTCTAAACATTGAAGCAGTTATAAAATTTTCATACTTGGTTGAATATTTAGAAATTCACCCCAGGGTTAAGAAATTGTTAATGATTTATTAGACAAATATTAATCTCAAGAAACTAGTGACTCCATGTTACCAGAAATAGAAAGAACCTTCCATTGAAACATGAGCTGTAGAGCCATCTTTTATACACCCAACCACTTAGCCTTTAAAGTCACATGCTAAAAATCAGCAAAGGTATAATAAGAATGCCAAACCTATTACTAAAGTGAGGAATTAAAATAAAACTCAATCATGAAGTCATCGACCAAGTAAATCTACACAAAGGATATGGCCCTAGACTTGTTGAGACAATTTTGAAGAGAACAAGGAGAAAGACCTTTCCTTGTACTTCAGAAGGCTTATTATGGAGCTCTAGTTACTAGACTGTACGTAAGACATACACGTAGAGATTAATTGAAAGAGTAGACTACTTCAAAATGCATATGCATGTATGTGTATAAATACACATATACATATACATCTGGTATTTGAGAGAATAGACACAACAATTAAGAAAGGAGAAACCATCAAGTAACTGGTGTCTGGACAACTTGCCTGACAATTACAGAAGAAAAGAAGAACAACAACATGGTAGGTCATTGTCTCACATCTTATACACAAATAAACTTGGATTAAAAAGGTAACTATAACGAAAAAAATCTTTGAAACTATTAGGAATATATATTTGTAATTTCCCAAAAAGGAAATACTTTCTAAACCGGATATACACAGGAAATACAGAATCAGAGGGAAAAGTTGTTAAATTTGACTAAAACAAAATTAAAATTTGCTTATGATAAAATATACACTGATTTTGGATTGGCAAAGCTAATGAACTAGCAACAAATAAGCATCTGGAATAATAATGAACTAAAAAATAAAAGCCAAACAGAATACAGAAAAAGCTATTTACAGAAGAAATCTAAATAGTCATTCAACATGAAAAATTTCTATGAAAAACAAAATAATACAAATTCAAATAATGAGACACCCTACACACTCTTCAGATTGACAAACATATGTTTTTGCTTAGAATGGGTCTGGGAGTTATAGATTTTTGTTTTCTGTTGCTGTTCTACCCTCAACTTTCTCTGGCCCTGTCCACCTGAGCCACAAAGGGGATCTCTCTCCATTCTTTCACCCCAACCCCATCAATAAGCCACTGTGGGTTTTGCTCAGTTCAGTGCAAATATAGGTTGAGGGATTGTAGACTTCTTGCTCCAGCCTCTGTATTGAACCCAGTACAAAGGACTCACACGTGGGTGGGGCTTTCTCAGCATTTCTCTTTCCCTATTTACCAGCTCACTCCCACCTGTATTTACATGAAGGTCTGGTACCTCCTTCAGTGGTTGCCTAACTTTAAATCCCTGTGGGGTCCACACAGCAAACCTCTGCAGCAACATATCTTTGCTTGGGAATGAGGACAGGGAGTTTCCAGGAAGTGATCTGTTCAGGACAGGTTCATGCACAGAAAAGTAAGTCTCCCATGTGGTGGTGTTTAAATGGTGGACCCTAAAAATAGGGGGTCTAGGGGGAGGTAATTAGGCTATTGGGGACATTGTTTGGGGAAGGGATTAATGCTGGTCTTGCAGAGTAAGTTGGTTCTCAGGAAAGCAGGTTGTAAATCAAGACCACCTCATGAGCTTGACCCCTTCTGCATGCAGTTGATTCTCTTTCCATTCTTACCCCATGCTGTGATGCCACCAAGGGAACATTTCCAGGACACCAGTACCATGCTGTTTGGTTCCTCTGGCCCTCAGAATTGTGAGCCAAATAAACCTCTTTATAAAATACCCAGCCTTGAGTATTTTGTTATAGCAACAGAAAACAGACTAAGGAAAGTCCTCTAGGGACAAAACTGAACATCATGCCAGCTAGCAAAATTGGTAATTTCAAGGGGCCATATCCATCTTCACAGGGAAAACTATGAAAGGCGAATTTGGAGCTAAGAAGTCATAAGTCAGTAACTGGCCAAGTGCCTCACAAATCCATGATGGAGCAGAGCCTGGAAGCAGGGAGAAGGTGGCATGGGAGTAATAACATGCTAACTCAGGAACACCCAGACTGTAGCGCTCATATGGGATACTGGAGTTACCAGGCTGCTCCCTTTCTGTTTGCAGGTTATTTGTTCCTGTTATGAACTCACATTTACTCATTTTCTCCCCTTCTTTCTCATTGAACAGGGCAACATGGGTAAGAGAAAGATAAGCGTGTGTCAACAAACTTGGGCTTTATTACATAAGAACATTCTTAAAAAGTGGAGAATGAAAAGAGAGCCACTAATGGTATGATTCGTTATCTGTGCCACTTTGTATTTAAGATAGGAAGATGTATATTACCTGAGAGGCATTTATGCTTTTGTTTTATATTTCCCCTACCAAAAATAAAATGAAAAACCTTTATAAAGCAGAAGAATCCGTTTTTAAGACTCTAAATCTACTTGAAGACATTTAAATTGGCAAAAACCTATAAATTGAGGCCTAAAAGCACAGAGGCTGGCCAGAAACTGAGAATTCAATAAATGTTTTAAAAGCCAATAATTATTCTTCTTACTAGTGTTCCCCACTCATTCATAAGTAGTGATATTCTAAAGACACAGCAAACAAATCAACCCACAGGTAACTGTGGAATTTCTTTCTTAAAAAAAAAAAACATTTTCTTCAAAAATAGTACAAAGTTTGGGAATGTATAAGTGCCAAGAAGAAAATTACTTTTTAATGGTACCATGTAATGAAAAGCCTGGTTGAACTTTGGTATCTTTTAAAATCAGTTTCATAGAGCAAGGTAGCATATTGAATTAAATGGGAATTATACTGTATGTACATAGTGAAATCTTTTTAAAATTATGCATTTGGGAAATATGGTGATTCTTAATGGGAATTTGCAAGTGACCAGGATTTATAACTAATTACTGAAACAGTGTTCCTCGTTATCACTCTGTTGAATTTCCAATGGCTGGAACTTGGCGTATCATCCCTGTAGCATGCTCTGGGTCTCTTCAACACAGGGACTTTCAGCAGAATCAAATACATCAATGAGTGCGTTACCAAAGTAACACCAGCTGACAATAATTTAAAGTGGTGTGTCTTGTTGCGTTTTATTTCTCATGATCAGTCCTTTAGCACTGGTACTGATGCTCAATCTATTTGAATTACTATTAATAGTTCATTGAAATTACTCGGTTTGTTTTATACATTTTTAAATGGTTCATATTGCAAGATGTGTTGAAATTTTAAAAAGGAACAAAGGGACGAATTGTATGACAAATGACTATGGATGAATAATTTGAAATCACAATTTTCTCTCCTCATTCTCGGGCTGCGTAGGAATGGATGAACGCGTTGCTCCTCCTACTTTGTTTGTACTTCTATCCTATTGGTCATCAAGTTGAAGACTTTTCTTTACGGCCTCCTGTGAACCTCGGAAGGGTAGATTCATTTAATGAATCCAAATTTGCAATTGAATACACACCTGTCACCAATGTAACCCAACAGATAATGAGCAAAGTAGCTACTACCTCCTTCATGACAGGTGAGTTGTCTAGCAATCCACAAGGAATATGTGACATCAGAATCCATGCAGATGCAGGCATTTAATTTACATTTCAGCTGATAAAATTGTGTCAATTATCAAAATTGCTAAAATGGGAAACTGAACATACTTCTCCTTTGTTGGAAATAAAGGATTCGTTTAAGTTATGTCAACATAGGCACTCTACATATTTTGAAAAATTCCCTCTTTTTTTGAATTTCTTCACCTTACTGTCAGGATTTGTACAGGAAAATAACTATATTTATTTCCAGTATCAACAAGTGCCTAATTGTATACCTATATACAATTTTAGATTTATTAGAATACTAATTATTCTACAAATAGTTTAATTGGTATAGTATATGTTATGTTGATGAAATTGGCTCAATAATCACAACATGTGGGGAAAAAATAACTAAATTTTATGTTTTTCTTCTGATGGTATCTAAATGAAACTTTAGAAACATCTTCCCCCAACATTTTAGATTTCATGACTCTGCCAAAGTCAATACATGATTTCATTTTATTTTCATAAAGAACTCTAGTAAAAGCTATTGAACATGACATCTCGAAGGCGAGTCTCCCGGTAATTTACTAATAACATCACTTTCTTGTAATGGCAGGTAGAGAAGTCATGGGACTATCAGATGAAGAAAGCATTAAAGAATTGAAAGCAGATTATCATGAGGAAATAGTAAGAGTCATCTTTACAAACACATACTCATATCATCTGAAATTCTTGTTGGGACAAAGAATCCCGATCAGTAAGGAACACAGGGACCATACAGGTAACTTTCCAGCCATATGATCACACTGATCACTATTTCATTTATGTTTGAGCCATTCATAGAAACAGATGTTAATATGTCAAGTTAGATCATCTCTATCATGGTGATGTCCATGTCATTCTACACATTCAAAAAATGTGCTTTCATCTTTGAGTAAACTAACATATTCAATATATGATCACTATATATAGCCATATACATATATCCAGACATGACTTATGTGTATACATGTGTACACCTATATATATAAACATACATTATCTGTGATATATAGCTGTAATATATGGTTGTTAAGGTAAAATAAAATTTATGGATAAAATAGAACACACTTCCCTTTAAATGCTTAAGTAAATCCACATGAAAGTAAGAGCAATTCTCGAAGGTCTAAAATGGAGGGCACCAAACTCAGTGTTAATTGGTTATTATTGGTGCTATATGACTTTGCCAAGCTCAGCAACCAAAAGATTTGGGTTTTAGTAGCTATGTGGGAACAGAGGATAAGATCTTGGGTTTGTGTGAGATGAAGTTTCCTGAATTAATTTGGAATCTGGAGGGCTGTGTACTCAGCAAGAGTTCACAAAAAAAGAGACACCTGTTGACAAAGAAAGAATAAAATGAAGTTTGTTGTTCTCCCTTTGGGCTCTGAAATAATACAAAGAGAATTCTTAAGAAAATCATAGCTTTCAGTCACCTTCTCCTGAGTCTAGAGTTCTTCCTTAACTTGAGAAGCTAATCTGAAAAATCTCAACTAAAAAATATAAAGTGCTCCTAGGTTAGTCAGACGCTGGGATGCTTGACAGAGGATATTATAAATTTTCTCTAGAAAAATACAACCTCAACTCAGACAGCAGAGACAAAATATCTCTAAATGTAAATTTACTCTCCAATATGTAAAAACAAGGTACCACAAGAGTCAAGAGAATTGCCCAAGCTGCGTGTATGTATGTAGATAGATAGATAGATAGATAGACAGACAGATATATTTCCCAGTGGAATTATAAAACTGAGAATATAAAATAAGCAAGTAATCTAAGGAATAATAGACTTTTTCAGAGAAGTTGACATATTCATTCTAAAATTTGCTTTTTAAAAGGCAAATTTAAATATCAAAATCAAAGTATCCAAGCTACTCATTTTTAAAAATGAAATAAGAAATTAAGACAGTATGTTACTGCCACAGATGAATAGGCCAATGACAGAGAAGAGAGAATCTTGGAAAATTCTCACATAAACATGGACACTCATATATGACTGAGAGGACATTACCAATTAATGCTGAGAACTGCAGGGAAAATTGTCTCTCCATAAAGAACAAAATAAAATTATCTCGTATAGAACAACCAATTTTAGGTAAAAGAATTTTAAAAGTCCTGCAAAACTTTTGGAAGTCAGTATAAGAACATACTTTTATAACTATTGGATAGGAGGACTTTCTTGCAAAAGAAAAATATATAAACTACAAAATAAAAGATAGATATATTCAGCTAGATAAAAATCAAGTAATTCTTATTATCCAAAGATACTGTATAGATAGTGAGAATTTGAGATAGAATTGAAAAAAAGAGATATTGATAACAAATAAAACTAGCAAAAGATGATTTCAGAATATATGAATATTTTCTTTGAATAAATAAGAAAAAGACCTCAAAATAGGACATTATTGAAAGACATAGCAGGTATTTCACAAAACATGAAACACAGATCAAGATTAAGCATGTGGAGAGATTTCTACCTACATTAGCAATCAGAGAACTGTATTTTGAAACCACTTGTTACATCATTTCACATTCATTAGATTTGCAAAAACTAACAAATAGTACAAAGTATTGACTAGGATATGTAGAAAAGAGAATGCCTATCCAGTATCATATAATTTTCTAAATTCTGCAAAAATTGAATAATATATAACCCATCATCATAAAAATCTTTTTAGTAAAACTCTCATCCCTACATTAAAAACTGGTAGCCTGTTCTCTCCTTCCTGAGTGCTTCGGAAGCTCTCAATGAAGAGCCAGACTCAAGGCACTTTAAAAGCAAGTGTGGATTTCTCATCTTTCTTCACCTGCTTCTACAAGCAGAATGAGTCACATATAATAGTGCAGAAAACTCATTTCATTTGGAAATCCTTAGTTTAATGTGGAATAGAATATCCCCCAACCTCTGACCAAAGAACCTTGCTGAACTTGTAGCCTGAGTAAGAAATAAGCTTTTGTGGTGATAAGTTGAGGTTTAAAGGTAATTTGTTACTATAGCATATCATAGACTATCCTGACTGATATACACACATTCATGATAAAATATAAAAGAATTCTTCAAAAAATTATAGCTTTCAGTCTCCTTCTTCTGGGTGAAAAACAGTTTTAGATTTTTTAATCAGGGCTGGGGACAAGAGTAGAAAAGTAGCTTAGATACTTTTATTTTGATATTTAAATTTGCCTTTTAAAAAGCAAATTTTAGATTTTTTTTTTAATGGAGGCTGGGGACAACAGTAAAGAGAAAAAAAGAACTAACCCAAATATCAGGAGAGTAGATAAATAAATTGATTGGCTCACATTTCTACAATGGGATTCCATAATCATAAGAAGAAATAAATAGGGCTATTTAGACAGATTTCAAAGTTATTAAACATAACAACTGAAGTAAGGTGCAGACTAATGAATATAATGAGATCTATGGATTAAATAGAGTTTATGTTTAAAAATTACTTATATAGTTTAGGGTTACGCAGTAAAAGCCTAAAGACATATGTAAACATGAAGTTCAGAAACATGATTAGCTATTTCAAGGATTGGTGCTTAGGAAAGAACATTTAGACAGTATGTAGAGGAGTTCAACTGTATTTGTAATGATTTATTTTTAAAATTTGGTGATAAGTACATGTGTGTCTATTTTTATATTATTTGTAGATCTGAAATATTTCAAAATAATTTTTAAATATTTAAAATCTTAATGCAATATGCATTTGATTCCTATATTTAACTTTAATTAATCTTATTAAAGACTACCACCTTAATATAATTTATTAAATATTATAAATATATTCAACATATTATACATAGTTCATATATAAAATAGCTACATTAAATATATTAATATCAATGGACTGGTAGATCTTCTTTTTTTAATAAATAAACTTTTTTCTTCAAAAGACATTCTGATTGACATGATTTAAGCACAGTGAGTTTCCTGATTCAAACTTCCATTTGGCCCTTTATGCTGTGTTGTACTCCATGTTAGAACAAGCTGTATTTCAGTGTTTCTCAATGCATACTAGAAATCCTGCTGTTTTGAAGAACATTGTTATGGTTTAGATATGAGGTGTGCCCCAGAAGTTTACATGGAAGACAATGCAAAAAAAAATTTAGAGGTGAAATAATGGGGTTATGAGAGCCTTAACCTAATCAATGCATTGCTCCACTTGAACGGATGAACTTGATGGTGTTTGTAGGCAGGTAGGGTGTAGCTGGAGGAGGTAGATCACTGGCAGCCTTTGGGTATACATTTTGTCGGAGGTGAGTAGGCCTCTCTCTGTTTCCTGACTACCATGTCCTAGGCTGCTTTCCTCCACCCTGCCCTTCTGCCATCATGTTCTTTCTCATCTGAGGCCCCAAGCTACAAAGTCAGCTGTCAGAGCTCTGAAACCATGAACATCAAACTTCATTCTTGTGAGGTCTTTTGGTCACAGTGGTGAAAAAGCTGACTAAAACTAATATCAAAAAGATATTGTTTTCACAATGCAGAAATAGAAGAGTTCCACAAAATTCTTGATTGGCAGAGAAGCACAAAAGGTGGTATGAGAAAGATGACTACAGGCAGAACGTTCCCCAAGACAGCTCCGCCTGACTCGTTTGGAGAATCATTACTATAACCTATGTTTTCATGTTTTAGAGCCAAAATAGGTCCATTTGAATTATGGGCCACTGAAAAGCCCATTTCCTGTGATCAGAATTGATATAATTCTAGTGATGATTTCTTGTCTTTTTTAATCACAAAGCTCATTGTTTTGAAGAAGATGAAGATGTTGACTGTTACATCTCAATATTCTGGAAGGAAGGTTTTGTGGCTCTTCAAGCTGCCATTAATGCTGCTATTATAGAAGTGAGTACAAAATGTTCAATGAAAACTAATTTTCTATGCAAACTAATTATACCAGAGGTACTAGAAGTCTCATGGAAGGAAATATAAATGGCTGGCCCTGTTCTTTCATTTACTCATTTGTATCTTTACAACAAAGACTACGAAATTTGCTGTATGTCCTTAGGAAATAGGGCATACAGAGAAGAAATGTTGTCAGGAAACCAGGGATATAATAAGGACATCAATAGAACAGAAGTAGGTGATCATGGGCATATCAAAAAGTCCTTGTAAACAAACAAGCAAGTTTCCCAGCCTATAAAGCTGTGGAAAGAGTCTCATTAAAATGGCAATTAAACTAGAAGCTTGAGGTGAGGGGTTTGTCAAATCTAAGATCAGAAAAGGCATTGCAAAGAAATCATGAAGTGACATTGGGTGGGGAGATAGTCAAACACAGTAATGCTAAGAATTCTGGAAAGCCTGGAATCCAAAATCCAGGTGGACCAGTACAGTACACGGATGTGGAAATGTAGGCCAGCATCAGATCCTAGAAGGATTGCACATTTCTAGGAAAAGAGATGATAAAAACAGAGACACGAAACCCCAGCACGTCATTCAGTGTGGAAATTTTATTTATTATTATCTTTCTTCAGACCACAACAAATCATTCAGTCATGGAGGAACTTATGTCGGTTACCGGAAGATACATGAAGATACAGCCCTTTATTAGTCAAGGAGGAATCGCAACTGATTTTTTCATTTTCTTCTGCATCATCTCCTTTTCCCCATTCATTTACTATGCATCCATCAATGTCACGAGGGAGAGGAAAACGATGAAGGCCTTGATGACCATGATGGGCCTGCAGGATTCAGCGTTCTGGTGAGCTGGGCTGTAGCACAGTGTTCTCAATGGAGAATCTCTGGAAAAGTGGGTGTCTGCAGTGTATCTTTATTAAAACCTAATGATTTTCTAACTTTTCCCTTTATCCTCCGAATGCAATAAGTCACCCTTGGTATAATGTTTGCCAGGACGAGACCGAATGTGACTGTGATTCTCTCGGGTTTAGTTTGCTGGGCAGTTGTGATAATGGAATGGGAAAGACAGAGGTCAGCATCTTTGCCAGATGGAAGTGGAATTCCAGCTAGAATGGGACTGCAAGGGCAGAAGTCAAAGCTTGAGTAATTCCAAGAACGGACAAGGTTCTGTGTGAGACCTCGAGAGTAATTAATTGACAGGGCATGGAGAAGGACGAAAGTAACCGTGAAGGGAGGGAGATGGGCGGGTTGGGCATATTGTAATCAATTAGGAGTTAGAGTTCCTTCTGTGCTAAAATCCTGAAAATCAGTATTGACCTCTTTACTGAATTAATATTAGAGGAAATTATAGTAGAGCAGTGAAATCTGGAGATTCTAGAGCCAAACACTTGGATTTGAGACTGTTAACATCTTTGTTCAATGGCTTCTCTGTCAATAACATGAGTAAAACATAGAAATGTCATTTCTGCATTCAGCTATGGTGAGAAGCAGATGATTTACTATTTGCTAAGTTTTTAAAACACTTTCCAATACATAATAATTGCTCTATGTGCTAGCTATTATTGTATTGGTCTTGCAGCTATTTTTTTATTTTTTTTAAAGTATCTTTATTTCATTATACTGTCTAAAGAAGACTGTAAAACAAGATAAAGAAATTGATAAGAAAAGCATAGTGGACTATTCTGAGACAAAGTAAATGGTATGATTTTTAGCACTCTATCTCACTGGAAAATGAGTGGAATTAAGGGCAAGTATGTAGACTTCTTGATGTATTCATGCAGAGAAAGGTGAAAAGAGCTTTTGGTAAGAGAAGTGACAGAATTTCACATGAGGAGTAATTTCTTATCTCCAAGGAAATTTATGAGGCTTCTCACCCTTTAAGCCTCTAGAGAAAAAGATATCAGGGATTCACAAAGGTGCTACCATGAACTAAGACAATGACCCATATAACCTCACCTCACCAAGTTCTCACCATAGTATAGTTTTCTATTTTCAGAGGAATAAAGGGGAGAAAAATTGGTTACAGAGTTTTCCCACAGTCACAGGGTAAGAAAGTCCAAAATGAAATGTTACAACCCAAATTCATCAGACTTGAAACCTAATTATTTCTTTTTTTGTTTATAATGATGTGTGTGCATGTGTGTTTCTGAAATTATTTTTCAGAAAAAGAATATTCTTAATCCCTTATGAATTCTGTTTAAAAAGTTCTAGTTTGCAATAGCATATCCTAGAATAGGCAATAAATACCTGCTGCACAACAGCATGTGTGTATGAATGAATGAGTGGGCAAATGAACAATGAAAAATTACAGTACAATCATGGTGGGTCCTTCTTTTCAACTGAACACTCAGTACTAAAACAAAGCTCTGTTTTTGCACTAGGCTCTCCTGGGGTTTGCTCTATGCTGGCTTCATCTTCATTATGGCCCTTTTCTTGGCACTTATTATAAAATCTACCCAGTTTTTTATTCTGACCAACTTCATGGTAGTTTTTACCCTCTTTCTCCTTTATGGATTGTCACTGGTGAGTTGATGAATTAAATTTTTCCCTGTCTATCCCTTGCCTTAAAAAATCAAACTGTTGGTTTCAGATTATCTTATTTTGTCTACACATCTGTTTTCTGCCTGCTCTAGTTGCATGCAAAAATCTATAGGTGGATACAATTGGATTAGTAATGCTTTGTGATGTCAATTATTAATACAATTGGCAAAATAATAGTTTCACTGGTTACATGCAAACTAATAATAGAACTAAAATGTTATTTGTAAAATCCCTCCTGTTATCATGCTACTAATAATTCCTGGAGGGACCTTACCCAGTCGGGTCTTCTCTTGTTTAGATTGCTCTGGCTTTCCTGATGAGCGTCTTGGTGAAGAAGTCTTTCCTCACTAGCCTAGTGGTGTTCCTCCTTACTGTCTTCTGGGGGAGCCTTGGATTCACAGCGTTGTACAGATATCTCCCAGTGTCTTTGGAGTGGATTTTCAGTTTTCTTAGCCCGTTTGCTTTCACCCTTGGAATGTCCCAGGTAAGAAGCCATCTAATGATCGGTGAAAAGCGTCTTTCTTCTCTGGAAGAATCTGTAATCAAAAAAAAAAAAAAAAGAATCTGTGATAGTTTTCATACTTCAGCATGGTGAAATTTAAAACCCTCCTGTAGACTTTTTGATTTTGCAAAGCTGAACTTTTAAAAGCTTTGAAAGTACTTAGCCCAGCAAAATAAGCCTAAAACCAAAGGCAGGGGGTGAATGATCAATACAAAATCCCTTGGAGACCATATAAAGCATTTTCTTTGGCTATTAAATACATATTTGATGTTATGAACACCATGTTGTGAGCTCTAGTCACATTACATACAGTAGGGCCCCAAAGCTGCTTCCTCCCCTCTAAGGTCACTTTGTGCCCATGGATCCACATCTCCCCATCCCCTCCCCCCTGGACCCTCCCCGGCTTCTGGTGACCAATCTTCTGCTCTCTATTTCTGTGGCTTCAGCTTCTGTTCATATTTTGATTTAGCAATTTAAGACAACATATACCATCAAGCTAAAAATACCTTGAAAACATATTAACTAACTAGCAAACTGTTTCTTTTCATAAAATTTTTTCTTTTATTTTATTGAACTCACGCTGCCTTCCTTCCAAATAAATGGTGATGCCAATCATGAAATATCTGGTTTTAGTGCTTAAGAAAAGAATGGTTAATAATAAAGCAATTCTTCATTAGAATATCATAGACCCTACTGGGTTGTTGTTTGTTTGTTTGTTTTTAACATACTACTATTTTTTTCCAGAATAAAAATTATTTGTTATGCAGCCATTTTCAGAACTCACCCTTCTTTTGATTGTGTCTTATTTGGTAAAAGTCTAAATTTAGCTCTAGTGCCATCATTTGCCATGTTTCCCTACCTCCTCCTAATGCTCCAATTTCATTTAGAACACACTTTCCTCACCACAGTTGTTAACACCTATTACAGTTTCTCAACTGTACATGCCTTCTGATACATTTGACAACCATCAAGTAGGCCATCTCCTTGTTTAAATTTCTATTCCCAGGAGGAGACAATAAGTAGCCATCTTATTCTTGTTATTTAAATTATTTAAAATGTATCACAAATGTAACTTATCTTTTTTTTTTTTAATTTTCAGCTTTTACACTTGGATTATGACGTAAATTCTAATGCATTTCTTGATGCACCAGTCAGCTCCAATCTAATTATAGCAACACATTTCATGTTGGCCTTTGACACTTTCCTCTATCTGGCACTCATGATGTACTTTGAAAAAATTTTGCCAAGTGAGTGGTTATGATTAAAATCAAACATCATTTGAGTAACGTTCTTTCCTAGAACAGATTTCTTAATACATGTACGATTTATATGTTACAAACCACTTTGCTGCTTTTGTATAGCTAGTTAGCATGGCAGTTCAGAAACACACAAATGTAGATTTTTTTTTTAATTGTAGCTCTAGAGATGGAACCTGAACCTCATGTATACTAGGCAAGCATTTGCTAATGAACTGCACCCCCAGCAAATTATAAATTTGCTTCAGAGGAAAGTTATTGTCTAGGAATGAGATAAAACAGGAATATAAAGTTGCTTTCTAAAGTTCCACTGTTGAGTCTGAATAATTTTTTTTTTGCCCCATTCTTCCCCTTTCCCACAAATGTGTTGTTTTGTTAAGTCCCATTCTATCTTCTCTTAGAATATTCGTTTTATTTTTCCAGTAGTCATTTCCCAATGTCTTCTTCGTTTGTTAATAAAATGACACAGAATTCAACAGGCCCAAAACCATTTGCATTTTGATTCTAATATCTGGCTTTATTAGGGTTAATTGAACGTTTATTAAAATTCCTCCTGAAAACTTTTTAATCTCAATTTCATTGCTTCCTATAGGAATAACTATTATAATAGAGATATCTTGGTGATTTTTTTTTCTTATGTAGTTGCACATGTTAAAACATGCTCATTGAGACTCAGGCCTAGCTTAATAGTTGAGCACTTTCTTTAGCATGAATGATTACCTGGGTTTAATACCCAGCATCAAAAGTAGAAACAAAAACACAAAAAAATGTATTGCCTTGTGTTGACCAACAAGGCTTAGCAGCAAAGGGGTTGTATTGCCAGGCTAGGTTAGTGTCACTCTTCCCTAAAATTGCTTATTGACCTTATATTTGTCACCGGGTCATGCAGATGAATTTGGACATCAACATTCACCCTTGTTTTTCCTGAAGTCCTCATTTTGGTCACGACAACAAAAGGCTGATCATGTGATCCTTGAAGATAAAATAGATTCCAGTCCTTCATCTAATGACTCTTTTGAACCAGTGTCTCCAGAATTCCATGGGAAAGAAGCCATCAGGTAACAAGGATGTGAATGGAGTCCAGGCCAAGGTTGGGGAGCTAAGAATTGGTCCTGAGACAAGCAGAGTTCTCCCTGGGCTCTGGAGAAGTGACCATGCCACAACACTTGCATCACTTCTCATTTTAAAGAGGTCCCTTACTAGCCCCCTACAGGGTTGACATCTACATTAAATAAAAACTTAGATTTCACCAGTGAAGACATGTCAACAAAACTCTTGCTTGGATTCTTGGTCTTTTTGTTCGTTTCTTTCTTTCTCCATCCTTAGCCTCCCCACTTTCTTTGGCAACATTTATTCACACTTTATACACATTGCATTTATGATACTTCTCATTTTTTGACAGTAAAATGGAATCAAAATAGAAATGAGAAAATCTAATTACATAGTTTAATATGAATAAAACCTGCACTGTCTGGTGAACAATAAATGACAAAATAACATAAATTTGACTTCACTTTTGGATTCCAGTTACCTGGTAGAATAAAATCATGCAGATAAAATATCTAGAATTCCAGATCTGTGATAGCACCCAGAACATGTTAACTCCATTCCTTTCCACTGCCACCACCATCATCATCTCACCAATGTCCTCTTAAGCTTGTTGAATGTTCACCATGAGCCCCGCGTTATGCATGCAAGATGAAATAGTTTATATAACCTGTAACACAATCCTAAAGCATTCAAAATTCTCAGATTGCAATTACTAAAACTTACCTGGATCTAGTACCCTGCCTAAAATAACAGAGTAACCAAGTGGTGCAGATGACATGAGTCAGGTGGGTAGCCCTGTGAGACCCCTGCCTCCCTATTGTGATGCACCATCTCTCTTCCTTATGCTACCTTTCAAGGATCCTCTGGAGACTGAGACTCAAGAGATCACCAACCTGTGCTAGTAGTTCATGCTGACCCTTTTAGTGTTGGGTGCCCACATCCTCTTTTGCTCTGACTTCCTTAACTTTGCAGTCCAGAGATGGCCCTGTTCTCTATTAATTGATGTTAGACCATGGCCCAGTCCAGGGAAAGAGTCTCAACTGGTAAGACCCAAGCACAAATTTTTAAAACTCATCAGGTGATGCCAATGTCCATCCAGGACCACAGTATTCTTCAGGATTCTTGAAGAATTCTGTCCCACAACCAGGACTGCAAGAGAGTGACTGCTACCTCTCTCTCCATCCTAAAGATCAGTTTCATCTGATTCTGGCAGCCAAACTGGAATTACAGACCAGAGAGAACTGTCACCTTGAAGTAGCTTTTCTTTTTTTTCAGAATCAGAAATATTACAAAAGAATATAAAGGAAAACCTGATAAAATAGAAGCTTTGAAAGGTAAAAAAAATTATATTGAAGTCAATTTCATGATTTAAATTCACATTGTTTTGCTTTTATTGAGCAGTTAATGATAATATCTCAGATTTGAAAAGTTATTTGAACCCTATTATAAATTTTCCCCTCTAACACATCACTTTTACTTTATAAAAGTTAAGAAAAAGTGGGTGTTATAGAATTACATGTATTTAAAGTCTATACTGATGTAACCTACAGATATTTTTTCCTACACCCTCAATTTTTTCTTCTATAATCCAAAAGCTATTGGTAGATACTCTACTTTTTTTCCTTTTCTTAAGGGGGGGGGCACTTACCTACTTACCACTTGGGAGTTTTAGCTATGTGATACTTTATTATTAATCTATTCTCCCATTCAATAAATACTAACATCCACCTACCATGCCAGGCAATTTCAATGAACTTAAGGGTATAAGGCATGTTTCATTCATTTTAATCAAATAACTTAAAAAATTCTAGAAAGGATTTTTTAAAAATTAGTTTTTAAGGGTATTTTTATTTTGAACTTACAATGTTTTCACACTAGAAAATACAATCATTCCAGGAAATCAAGTATTAATTTATTGGTTCTGTAACAGAATGTTATTTGTGATTTTTATTATTTTCCTTCCTTCCTCCCATCTCTTCTCCCTCCTTCCTTATCTTACCTTCCATTCCTAGACCTGGTATTGGACATTTATGAAGGCCAAATCACTGCAATCCTTGGTCACAGTGGAGCTGGAAAATCAACACTGTTAAATATTCTTAGTGGGTTGTCTGTTCCCACCAAAGGTGAGAGTTCTTTTTTCCAAAGTCAGGTTGACAAAGAAGTAAGCTGATAATATAAAATCCTCCTGGTTATTAATGACAAACACAGATATCAAAGAAAAAATGGAAATCTATTTGTAATATTATTCCATAAAGGTTTGTGATGTTTAATTACTACATATAGAATGTAAGTATTTTGTGATGATTATTTTCATGGTCATCAGTTTGGCATTCCCATATGTATCTGTCAGCTTTTGCTGCATGACAAATACTCCCAAACTGAATGGCTTAAAATAAAAAATGTTTTTTTTTTTTTTTCTCATGACTCTGTGGGTTGACTGAGTGGTTTCTCTATTCTGAACCAAATGATTGACACTGGGTAATTTAACATGTGCCCGCTCACATATTTGAGGCTTCAGACAGGACAGCTACACCTCTGTTTTTGCATGGACTTTCATGTTGCAAGAGGCTAGATTGGGATTCTTTACCCAATGTTCTTCATGATCCCAGCAACAAAAGAGGACTAGTCACAGTGTGTAGCTATTCATCAGCTCTATTTGTATCACCGTTGCTAAGGCCCCAGTGGGCATCTAGCCAAACCTAATTATAAATGGTAAGAGACTACACTACATTTATTAGGAATAAAATCACAGATGGGAACTCCTTTCACAATTTACTTTACAACTGAAAGGAAAATTCATAATGCCTAAATTGTATAAAGCTTGAAGATAAAATAGCTTATTGATTAGTGCATTGATAGTGATTTTTTTATTTAGAAATACTCTGTTTACTTATTATCCAGATATTAATGTAGAATCTTTGTGATAGGTTCTGTCACCATCTACAATAATAAACTTTCAGAAATGGATGACCTAGAAAACATCATCAAGATCACTGGAATTTGTCCACAATCCAATGTGCAGTTTGACTTCCTTACTGTGAAAGAAAACCTTAGGCTATTTGCTAAAATAAGAGGGATTCTGCCACAAGAAGTGGAGCAAGAGGTATATAAATACATTAAAACTAATCATGTATTGGTCAAAGTGAGATTGCTAATCCTGTTTGCTCTGTTTTGTTTTGTTTTTCTCTTTTATTAATTATCTGTGTGTAAGTCATTGGTAAATGTTGAAGAAGAAAATCCAATTTCAGCAATAGTGAACATTTAGATAATTTACAATGTGCCGAGCATATCCTTTACTGTAAATGTAGAACTCATTTATTCCTTAGAACGACACTATGAGATAAAGCTGTTATTATTCCCATTTTATGCATGTAGAAACTGAGGTTCAGAGAGAAAGTAACTTGACTGAGATCACACAACAGCTGAAGATGGATGGTCATTCAAAGCCAGGCAGTTTGGCCACAGGGTCCATGCTTTTAATCATTATGTTTACAGCTTTGCATTTTTTAAAAAAAGGAAAAAAGAAATGAGTCTTGGTGTATGACATACAATGTTGTCTTTTGATTAGATAGAAAGAGTTTTGCTGGAATTGGAAATACAAAATATTCAGAATGTCCTGGCTCAAAACTTAAGTGGTGGACAGAAAAGAAAACTAACCTTTGGGATTGCCATTTTAGGAGATCCTCAGGTGAGTTCAGCTAAATTTATGGGTGTTTTCAAATTGTAGAAAGTGAAACTTTTGATGAGAGTTCAAACCTTGTAATTCAAAAAGGACGTGTTTGATAAAATATTTATTATAAAATATTCAAAATAAGAACAAAATCCTAATCACAATACTTTTAAATACAAATAAAGGATGGGGGATGTAGTCCAGTGGTAGAGTGCTTGCCTGGCATACACGAGGCTCTGGGTTTGACCCTCAGTACTGCAAAAAAGTAAGTAAATAAATGCATATAAATAATATGGTCTTTACATTGTTTTCTGGAAAAACTTCACCTTAGGAGAAACACACACACACACACACACACACACTTCTCCTTCACACCTCCCTCCTCTGCAGGTTTTCCTATTAGATGAACCCAGTGCTGGAATGGATCCCTTCTCAAGACACAGAATTTGGAACCTCCTGAAAGAGCGTAGAAGAGACCGTGTGATCCTTTTTACTACTCAGTTCATGGATGAGGCTGACCTCCTGGCAGGTAATTGCTGGTTTTCATTGAATATCCTCATGAGGACTTCAGGGTATTTGAGAAATGTGGATTGGTATTCTGGACAGCTCTATTTAATACTGGCAATCTAGGCATCCATGGTAATCTGTACCACTGGGGACGAGATGCAATTGGGCCCAAATCTTCTCGCCTCCAGCCATTTCTATGTATCTTGTAAAATTTGTATTATTTGATGATGTAGGAGTGGGCTGTTCCAGGGAAGTAAGTAGAGTCAGTATTCTAAGAGATTAATTCTCTCAGAATAGAGACATATCAACTTGAAATATCCAAAGAATTTTAATGTTTGATCCATCAAAATGTGTTATGTGATGATTCTCTATGATAGACAGTATATTCACATAGTTGAATCTCCCTGATGAGTTGATGCAAAGATGACCTAAAATACATAAATTAGATTAAAATAAAGTAAGGACTTTATGGAGTCCTTACTAGCTCTGTCTCTGTGCAGACTATAGACACTCCTTAACTGGAGTTAGATCATACTGTGTTTTCTCAAAAAGCAAATGGAATTCATCTATTCCTTCCATGCTCCCCCTCCCTACCCCACTATGAGTCAGTCACTTTATATCAGAGAAAACATTCGGTATTTGTCTTTTGGGGATGGGCTAACTTCACTTAGCATTATCTTCTCCAACTCCATCCATTTATCTGCAAATGCCATGATTTTATTCTCTTTTATTGCTGAGTAATATTCCATTGTGTATTTATGCCACATTTTTTAAATCTATTCATCTATTGAAGGGCATCTAGGTTGGTTCCACAGTTTAGCTATTGTGAATTGTGCTGCTTTAAACATTGATGTGGCTGTGTCCCTGTAGTATGCTGTTTTTAAGTCCTTTGGGTATAGACCAAGGAGAGGGATAGCTGGGTCAAATGGTGGTTCCATTCCCAGTTTTCCAAGGAATCTCCATACTGCTTTTGACTGCACCAATTTGCAGTCCCACCAGCAATGTACGAGTGTACCTTTCTCCCTACATCCTCGCCAACACTTATTGTTGTTTGTCTTCATAATAGCTGCCATTTGACTGGAGTGAGATGATAAACTCTAGGTAGGGCAGAGGGGTGGGAGGGGAAGAGAGGGGGCAGGGGGTTAGCAATGATGGTGGAATGTGATGGACATCATTATCCAAAGTACATGTATGAAGACATGAATTGGTATGAACATACTTTATATACAAACAGAGATATGAAAAATTGTGCTCCATATGCGTAATAAGAATTGTAATACATTCCACTGTCGTGTATTTAAAAAATAAAATCAATTAAAAAAAAGAATTTAAAAAAACTGCCTATCAAACTCTCTTCTTTGATTCTTCCTTTTCAGATAGGAAAGTGTTTCTCTCCAAAGGGAAACTGAAGTGTGCAGGTTCTTCATTGTTTCTGAAGAAAAAGTGGGGGATCGGTTATCACCTAAGGTAGGGCCACCAGGGAAGGTTCTTTTGGTAAAAGAGAGGCTTGATGGAGATGGAAACAAACATGCCAAGAAGATCTGTGTTCATTATACCCAAGTGCTTGCACACCCACATGCACATATCTGTGCAGAGCTATTGATACAGAAATCATGTATGTGTGAGAGTTGACGACTTTGGAGACGCCTGAGATTGAGAATATAAGATGGCAACAGAAGTTTAGATAAATGTGTGTTAGGAAATATATTCGGAATGCATGGTCTATGGAAACATGTATTAAGGGAACTTTTTCACTGATATATTCTTTCATACCCTAATCATCTCTCACCCAGGGTGTTAATATAATTTCCTACTTGCTTCCAATTCCTTCAGTGCTTCCTCCTTTTTCTTGACCTTCTCCTTTCCATTCTTCTCAATTATTAGTGTTTTGAATAGTAGCATGTGAGAGCTGTTATTTATTTGGATGATACTTAACATTATTTTATTTCAATCTTTTATTTTTGAGATGGGAATCATCATTACTTTTACTTTACAGATAAAATGATATACTCCCTATGTGTCTTAGACTGACTATTTTGTGCTGCTAGAACAAAGTACCTGAGACTGGGTAATTTATAAAGAATAAACATTTATTTCCTACAGTTCTGGAGGCTGGGAAGTCCAAGGTTGAGGGACCACACTTGGCACGGGTCTTCTCGCTGCATCATCCCATGGTAAAAGGAGAAAGGGCAAGAGATCACACACAGGGCAGGGTAGGGGGTAAACTCATCATTTTATCAGGAATCCATTCCCACAATAACTAACTCACCTCTATGATAATGGCATGAATCCATTCATGAAGAGAGAGCCTCATGACCTAATCACCTCTCAAAGCTTCCACATCTCAACACCATTGCACTGGGATTATTTCCAGCCTGTGAACTTTGAGAGACACGTTCAAACCATAACACTACGTTGTTGTGTGGTAGAGCCACGAATTGATTCTCAATATGTTTAGCTTCAAATCTAGTGTTCAAGACCATGTTTTAATTTTTAAATTAATTGGTTAGTTCTGATTTATATCATTTATACTTAAAAAAGAAAATAAAGATAAAATGACAAAACATAACAAACAAACTTCAGAAATTTTACCTACCAGAATCCAAACCATGTAGCCAAATAATGCTGGTGTGACCCGTCTGTCATGACTCCCATACCATGTACCCTGACCCAATTCAATACCCTTTAGTTAAAGTGAAATAGTCATTGCTCATTATGCATGTCCTACCATGATCTACACTTTTTTTTTTTTGAGGCTAGCTGTTGAACCCATTTCCACCTGTTTAAGTCCTAAAGAGTTAAATGGATAATATCTCATGCACACTTTGATAATATTCCTGTTTTGTGTGATGTCCCAATTTTGTTTTTAATTCCCTGAAGCATTTAGTTTGCACTTTTTCTTAGAAGTTATTTAGACTTTTTGAAACTCAGTTTTCTCACTTATAAACTGGGAGTAATAACTCCCAGATTATAAGTAAAGGTTATAGAAAAATAAATGATATGTTGCTTAGAATCTTGTGTAATATTGAGGACATACCTATGCTCTCAAAATAAAGGTGCTAGTCAAGATTCCCTGCCCATGACTCTTTCCATGGGCCTCTGGACAGTAATTTGCATAATTGCTTCATGTTCTTCTTCAAAGCCCGAGGTTAACAAATTATGGCCTTGTGAGCCAAATTCAGCCCCCTTCCTGTTTTTGTAAATGAAGTTTTGATTGAGCCCAGGCTTGCAATTCTCTTACATATTGCCTACAGAGCTTCTGAGACACAACAGAGAGTTGAAACACATGACTAGACTTTTCAGGCAATGTCTAAACTATTTGCTACCCAGCCATTTACAGAAAAAGTTTGCCAAGCCTGCCTTCTGACGGATAAGCTCCTGAGGAAAGACACTGTGTACCACTTACAAAGTCCTCCAGAACACCCAGCTCAAGTTCTTGTAAGGGGCCAGGAAATGTTTATAGCTTGTTTTATTTCATGGCAGATTCCCTCAGTGGGTTTCACTGCTTCTAGGAATAATACATATTCTTATAAGTTCACGCATGCCTTATGAGTAAATGGAATAATTCTGACTGAAGCATTTAGCTCAATAAAACAGCAACCATTTTTAAGGGCTAAGTGTTAGCATCCCTATTTTTCAGTTCTTAGCAACCTTAAATGTTAGAAGTCATTATTCTATTTTACTAATGAGGAAACTGCTGAGATAGGTTAAATTAGATTTTTCAAATGGCAAAAACTAAGATTCAAAGTAAAATCATGACATATTGTTATCTACTATATACTTACTAACCTTGATTGTTCAATTTTTATTTCCTATAATGGGAAAATAGTATGGTGTGTTTGAATGGCTAGACTTCTCAATGATATTTTGTTCTTATTCAAAGTTTTGGGGTTGACACTAGAAAGAAAGCTAAAATTGGGGATCCCAGCTCCCCAAGCCCACATTCATCCATAATTAGTTTCTATCTATAACCCAGTTTCCTTCATAGCATTTACTACTATTGATAATTAGTTTACTTATCTGTTTGTTTTCTTCCTGTCTCCCTGACTAGATAATTTCATAAGTGCTGGCTAATGTTGTCTTATTCACCTTGTACCCTGAGCACTTAGTGGGGTGATGTTTATCACATACTAAGAAATTTGCATTGAATGATTAACTCAATAACAGTACCTGTTTGGCATCTATGACTATCAAAAAGTCTCTTGTTCTTTCAAACCAGTACGATAATCCTATTTAGCTAACTTAAACTTCCTCGGTTAGACATAATTGTCAACATTATCCATCTTGCTTATTCCTGATCTTTGTTGCATTCCTAGTATTTCTACCATGTAGTTATTCTCCACTTAAGGACCTGAATCACTATTGATCTTCTCCGGGCACCATCCCTCAGTAATATGACCAGTAATTCTGTTTAGCTTCATCTTTGCTTCCCCACATTACATTTATATGATTGGGATCTTTGTCCTCTTATTTAATGTTTTCAAGTCCTGTTTTTTTGCATTAGATATTAGCTGGTTTTCTTTGTCCTATAGAGATTAGACTTGATTTTCATGCTATTGGAGACTATGTCAAAAAACACACCTTTTTTTTTTTTTTAACGCCAGTTTGCAGTTGAATGAACTATGTGCTCAGGAAAAGATAACATCTCTTGTTAAACAGCACATCCCTGATGCCAAATTATCAGCAGAAAGTGAAGGAAAGCTTGTCTATACACTACCGTTAGAAACAACCCATAGTTTTCCAGGTAATGTTTATAGAAACATGAAATTAGTATATAAATAATATCCATAATAAAAATAATGGTAACTTGTATAACTAACATTCATTGAGAACTTATGATGTTGTTCAGATATTTAAATGTAATCAAATCAATAGTCAAATAACAACTGCCTATAGTGGGAAATATTATTATATTGTGATAGTAATGCTTGTGCATTTTTAGAGAGCTTCTTTTAATTCTGTTCCCCTGGTGGTATATAGCAGAACATTCTAGTAATCATAACTGTACATGAACACAAATGGTTGAAACCTCTAGCTTAACTATGTTAATTAGCCCCATGATATAACTATTTCTCTTGGCCAGGCCGTTGTGATAACTTTGAGCTTTCCAGGCTAATGAACAGACATTTACTAATTCTGTTTATCCTTCTGTTCCATGACCATGAAGGCTGACACTGAGTGGCTGGATCAATTAGCCTTGCCATATGTGTGGTTAACAACGACACGTAATTATTCTATAAAGTCACTCAAATATACATTTTATAACATAAATATTCCTTAGAAGCATTCAGCAAAGTGTTTGTAGACTGCTAATTAGTGTATTGTAAGAGTAATTAAAATATAGGGAAAGTTTGTAATAGTTTTAGGTAGAATGAAGAATAACACATGGTACTTGTTAGCAGTTCAAATCTCCTTTCTACCTTTCCATGTAAGATATTCCAGCTGAGACTGGACGCTTCTAACATCCTTCTGTCACTGGACTCTCCAGAATGAAGCCTCGGGTCTTCTATAATCACTCTAGTCTTAGAATCGGGTTTTTACTTAAGCTTAATTACCCACTATAATTCAAATCCATGCAGGCAGGGAAATTGCTCTTGGTTTTATGAACAATGATTGATGCCATAGTATTTTTAGGTAAATGAACTAAAGAAGGAACGGATACAAAAATTGCTAGAGGGAATCTCTGCTATCATACTTTCCTACTAGCCCAAGAAATTCTAAGTCGATTCTTCATTCTCTATTAGAACTTGGGAATTATTTTTCAGAAACAGAAACTAATTTTAAAATGACTTAGTTCCTCCGTCTGTCCTTTGACAGGTGCTTTGAGAACTGAAGAAGATTTTGAACCATCTACCTAATTCTCAAAAAATATGTTCTTTCTCTTCTGTTGGTAACAGCATGAATGTTTCCCATTTGTATCTGTTATCTGGGGGAAAAATAATCTTTAAGTAAAAAAGTTTAGCATTGAGAAGTCCAAAATTTCATAATTAACTAAATCAGAAAAATCTAGAATGACGTTATAATAGAAACATAAATGAATATAAACTAATATTTGACCATGAGAGTAATATTTGGGTGAAATAGAAAATACATGGATTGAAGAATAAGATTATTTATTATGAAATGTTAATTTTAAAAATCTTAGACAAATCTTAAGCATAACTTCATATAATTTCTTTATTTAATTTGGAAAGATGTCCTTAGTTTGCTCATGGCTTTTGCTGTTTTGATTCACTGCTCTGATTGTTTTCTTTAGAACTTTACACGGATCTTGATAGCAATCCTGGCCTAGGAATTGAGAATTATGGTGTTTCCATGACAACTTTGAATGAAGTGTTCCTGAAGCTAGAAGGAAAATCAGCGCTCGATGAATCAGGTAAATAAAATGCATGAAAATTTTGTGTGAAAATATTCATGCAGTGCAGAACAGGGTCGAGAAGACCCTGTTCCAAAGGTGTGATTGTGAAACGTTGGTTTCCATGACTAACGCATTTCTCAGATAAGCTTATGCAAAGATGAGCTGTGTCCTCTGTCAATATTGTCTTGACTGATTGCATAGTTCGTTTTCCTGCATCCAAGGGTCATTGCCCTCCTCACATCCCAAGATCAATTTCAGATAGAACCTTCTTATCTTCCTGTCTGCACACTCTGCATGATTCTGCTGTGTGCTGGCCTCCAGGGTTTCTGAGAAGTCAGCTCTTAAACTTATTGAGGATGTCTTGTTATGATGAGCCATTTTCTCTTGCTGCTTTCAATATTCTCTTTTCTGACTAGCTTTGGACAGCTTGTTCATGTCTTTAGAGCTTTACATTTATCCTACATGGGGTAGGTTGGGCATCTTGGTGTTTTAGTCAGCCTTTTTTTTTTTTTTTGCTTTTGTGACTAAAAGACCCAACCAGAACAACTGTAGAGGAGAAAGATTTATTTAGGGGCTCACAGTTTCAGAGGTCTCAGTGCATCAGTGGCTGGCTCCATTCTTCAGGACTCAAGGTATGGCAGAGGGAACCAGTTCACATAATAATCAGAAAACAGAGAGAGAGAGGCCTCCACTTGCCAGACACAAATATATACATTATAACCACACACCCAGTGAACCTCTTCCACACACCCAGTGAACCTCTTCCTCCAGCCACACTTCACCTGCCTCCAGTCACCACTCAGTGAATCCCATCAGGGATCAATCCACTGATTAGGTTAAGGCTATAACACAATCATTTCACCTCCAAACCTTGCATTGTCTCACACGTAAGCTTTTGGGGGACTCCTCACATCTAAACCAAACCACTTGGATATGGAAATTAGTGTTTTTCATCCAATTGGGGAAGTTTTTAGCTTCATTTCTTTCCTTCCTCTCCTTTCCTTCGGACACTGCCATTGTTTATTGGTGACTTGGTAACATCCTACATTTCTCTGGGACTCTTCATTTTCTTTGTTCCTTTTACTTTATGTTCCTTACCCTGACTAATCTCAATTTTACTTCTGTCATGTTCACCGATTGTTCTATTTGCTGAAATATGTTAAGTTCTGCCGGTAAATTTTTCACTTTCAGTTGGTACAATTTTCAACTCTAAAAATTTTATTGGGCTCTCTTTTATAATGTTTGCATCTTTAATGATGTGTTCAATTTGATTAGACAAGGTTGTCATACATGGTCACTTTAAAAAGCCCTTGCACCTATTCCCTTTCCTCTATTTTACTGATCTTCCTGTTTATGCTTTTTATAAAATTAGTGTCTTGTAGATACACATAATGTGAGATTCACTGTAGTATCCTCACATATGTACCTTGGAAAGTCAAGTCAAATTCATTCCACTGTTTTACCTTTATCCTGTCCCTCCTCCCTCCCCCCATCCCCTTCTTCTACATCCCTGATCTTTCTTTTATTTCTTATTTCTTTTAATGTGATTATTGCTATGGTTATGTTTATATCTATCATATTGGTCCCTTCTAGTCTTTGCTTTTTTATTCCTTCCTGCCATGATTTTTTATTAGTAGTAAATAACTTGCTTCCTTATTTCCTTTTTAGCTGTGGTTTTTTTGGTGTGTTATTTTTCATGGTCACTAGAAAAATTTATTTGTATACTATACTCCAGCATTGCTATACTGGTTCACACAAAATACAACTACTTTTAAATGAACACACTTATCTCCTCCCTTTTCCTTTTTGATATTTCCTATCATGCGTTGTAATTATATGTGCTTCTCAGTTATTATTATTAAACTCTCACCCAAGTCACATACACTTATATATCTGTAAATCAGTATCTTTATCTGAAGAGCTACAGATAGATGATTGATTGATAGAAATGAGTCAGAGAGAGAGAGAGAGAGAGAGAGAGAGAGAGAGAGAGAGAGAGAATATAACCGATTTTACTGTTCTCTTTCATTTGCCCATACATTATATCTCTATTGGGCTCCTAACTCTTCCCGCCTGATATTTTATCTAGTATAATTTATGATCAGCTTAAACAGCACCTTCTATCAGTTCTTATTTGGGACTTTTGAATTCTTTGGATCTGTGGGTGCAATTTATACTGAGCAAAAAAAAAAATCTTAGACATCTGGTGCTGCCCCACAGGCATTAGATTCCCAGTTAGGTTTTCCAATCTTTGTTTTTCTTTGTGTTAGAAATTGGACAATGTCTAAAAAATAAAAAGGAAAGTAATTGGACAATGTAGGTTTGCCTGTCTTCAAAATCACAGCTGTCTTCTGTTCAGACTGTTCTGAAGCCCAACTATTAAACTCTCTATTCCTGATACTGTATCTTTTAACAGAATGTTTCCATTTGTTCATATTTTAACAGTTTCAGATTCTCTACTGAACTTACTTATTGGCTCACTGATATCCTTCATATTTTCTAGTGGATCTTGGAATAAATCATAAATATTTTTAAACCCATGTGTGTTAAACCCAACATTTGGACCACAATCACTGATGACCCACATCAGTAATGATTTTGACTGTTCTTTTCTCTCTCGGTCACATTTCCTGCTTCTTCTCATATCTTATATTTTTTCTTATCTCATCGACATATTAAAAAAATAATAATAACACAACAAAACAGTAAAGACTGAAGAAAGCAATGCCCAGAAAATGAGTTGACTCTTTTTTCTGTCAGGATGCTGATACAGATCACTAGATTGACCTGATCTGTATTTGGCAAGTATGTGGACTTTTGGACAGCTTTTCCTCCTTTCCCACTTCCACATGATTTGAAGGTCAAATCAAATCTTTCCCTTCAGCATGACCTTGAGTTACAGCATTGATGCTAAACTCTTCAGATCTCTCTGCGACCTACAGACCTACAGGAATCTCTGAGTTAGTGTGGGTGAGAGTGAAATCGAATCACGTGGATGCAAACACACAGGTGAGGCTTTTGCTGGGAATTCGGAGAAAGGAGGCAGAGCCAGAGAGCAGTGTGGAAATCAGGATTGTGGGGCTGGCTCTTGACAAAGGGAGAGGCTGAGTGTTATTCATGGGAAAGGGTTGCTTGCAGGGGTGGGCTAGAGTTTAGCCATATTAATTGCCTTTGGGTGCTTTCTAAAGGTGTTTTTCCTTGTCCTGGAGTCAAAATCACCTCTCTCCTAATGATGCTGCATTTGCCTGTGGTAAGGATGAGTCCCTGTAGCATTTAAGAGAAGACAAATCATGCAAATAACAGGTTCAGGGCCTGGGAACTTCCTACTTTGGCGTCTCCTCAATGGTTTTGTCCTTTGGGTTGTTTATCACTGGCTTTACTGATGCACCTGGTTTTTGAAGCTGAAAATGTTTAAGGGTGAGTGAGCAAGGCATATACCAAGCTTTTGGAATCTGACAACCTCCAAGTTAGGGTAGGGAAGTAGGGAAAAGCACACATCCTCTTTTTAATGGCTGTTAGGCTACGAAGCTCCAAGAGTGCATCTGCCCTTTTTCAGAACAGGGGTCCTACTGTTCTCAGCACCCCCCCTCCACCAAATCCTCCAGCAGCAGAAATTTCCTTGACTTTGTGCCTGCCACCCTATTTTATTGCATTTTAAAAATTTATTGGTTTATTTGACCACTGGGTACTGAGCCCTACTCTCCACTTAAATCAAACTTTGCCCCAGCTCTCCCTCCACCTTACCACCCTCTACACAGACTTCAGCATGGCCACTGAAGTGGCCAGCACTATACCCAGCAGAGGCCCATGTGTCCTCAGTTACCCCTTCTGTGGGCTGGCTCTTGGTGGACGCTGTAATTCACACAGAGAGCCCCACTTGCCTTCATGTCTTGCAGGAGACCCTGGGCACCTCCATGTGGCTCTCTCTGTTTTTCCTTCTGCCCCAACCTCTGGTGCACTGTTCGCATGCACTTGGTGAAGGGCCCCCTTGGGAAAGAATTGGTAGAGAGTGTGGACTCATTTTGTGACTTGGGCACCACGTGATTCTAGATGGGTACGGTAGCCCAAATGTGACCATAAGGGTTTGTTTCATCCTGCTGTTGGCCCTTTGTCCATGCCTTTGGTGGGCTCTCTTTCTGCCCTGTCCCTAGGGATGAATGCAGACACAGGAATCTTCTCCCCTATGAATAAAATAGCTTCTCTTTTAATGAAAGTTAATCTTTTTAGTTTTCATGATGCCCTCATCTTTCTAATGGATTAACAATGACAAATATCTATTATTTAAAACGATTCTTTTAATGTGCTTCTCACCGCTATCTTGTTCAAGATCTTTATGTCAGAGTGTGAATTTTTCTGTGCATTTCTGGGGCTTTGAGTCGGGTTTATTTTAGCATTGTACAGTGGGCAGCCTCCTGGGGACCTAGAGATAGCAGAGAATGTGCAAAGGGTAGAAGAGTGCAGCCTCAAACACTGTGCACATTTTAAATCTCTCCAGTAATGACGATTTATAATTGACCCCCAGGTGGATAACTTATCATTCATAGTTCACTCCCTGTGTGTAGCATGTCAATCTGTAGCTTGCTTCTCTAAGTGAACACACAGAAGATTGCTTTCTTTACTAAATTTGCAAATTACGCGAGGCACTGAAATGACCTTGCATTTTTAATCTCGTCTCTCGAATGTACAGTGCATATTCGAATTATCTAGGAGCTTCTTTCCTCTCCTCTTTTTGTTCAAAAAACAAATCTTGTAAATATTTCCCTAGCTCAAGGTAGCAGCCAGGAAGGCCATGTCTACAGGAAAAGACTCGAACTACCGTCAAACAAGCTCATGCCGTAGGCTCAATATTACACATCTGAAGTGGGATTTAATAAATTGCTTCTTTTGTGGTTTGCAGGTGTCAACATTCTAGGAGAAGCACAAGGGGAAAGAGCTGGGGACACAGAAAGACTTGTTGAGATGGAACAAATTCTCTCCTCACTTATGGAGATGAGAAAGACAGTAGGGGGCGTGGCTCTCTGGGGTCGACAGATCTGTGCAATTGCAAAGGTTCGTTTGCTAAAGTTGAAGCACGAAAGAAAAGCTCTTCTATCACTGTGAGTATCAGAGTGCCGCAGAGTTTTCCCTTTAGCTGATGTGTGGAAAATAACTAAGGGGTAAAAATAAGAGGGAAATTTTTTTTTTAATTTCCTGTGTCTACAAAACTGGAAAAAGTATAATATTTATTTAGTCAGTGGTCTAGTAGTTTTCTATTAGGGGACTAACAGGTCCAGAGACAATTCTAGAGGAAAAGTTGGAATGCTGTGAACTTCCCTGTAACATTTCTTCTCACTCAAATTCTGCACTATGACAGGTGGCAGACGTGTTAGGAAGTGGTCCTCTTTCCCAGGATCTATCTTAGTGGTTATCCTACTCATTCTTCCCTAGATGTCGAGATTCCCCTCCAGTCGGTATAAGCAGTTCACTCTCCTTCCCGACTCTGTGCACAGAAGACACGGTCCCTGCTCCCAAACTCACATCATCTCCTTTTGTACCTTAACACCCATCGTACCTCGGCTGTCAATCAATGCCGTGTCTCTGAACACTGTATTTTGCTTTAGGAATAAGGAGGTCGGTAGCCTGCCACACAATTGAATCTCAGTAAATATTTGCTAAAGAAATAAGTAATGAGAATTTGAGCAAGATTTAAGAATAAACCTTCCCTATTAAACTGGAAACACTACATACCAGTCTAGAGAGAGTGAAGTATAAAGAGATGCCCGTCATTTTGCTGACTTCAGACAAAATGTTATTATAAATTAAGGATGGGGAAAGGTTTTGAAGTAACAGAATGGCCGTATAAGAAGATATTTCGATTTATCTGAATGGAGAATGTAGGAAAATAAAGACTAAAATATAATTAAAGATTTGAGCCTGGAAACTAAAGAAATCACATCACTCCCAAGTATAAGAGGAGTGGACATGAAGGAAGTCATGGGCAAGGTGTTGAGGAATGGCTGGCAGAGGGCAGAGCATCGCTCTGGAGCATGGGAGGCAGGCAGGATCTGAGCATGAGGGACAGGACACATCCCACGGAGGGGTATGGGCTGCCCAAAGGCCAGAGCAAGGGAAGGAAAGGATAAATCTACAGTTTCTCCCCTCCAATTTAGGAGGAAAAAGGACAAAATACTCAAGAAATGAGCAGAGAGCTGTGTTTAATTTTCACAATTTCTTGACCTCAGTACATTGCAATCTGCTCAGACCCTTCTAAAAATTAGGAAATGATGGTGCATTGATTCACATTGGCAGTTTTATCCCATACAGGTTGTTGATTCTGGTGGTTGGATTTTTCCCTCTTTTTTTGGAGTATATCTTGGTGAAAGTTCATCAAAACAGTTACACTTTGGAACTGTCTCCTCATCTGTACTTCCTGGCTCCTGGACAACAGCCACGGGACCCTCTCACTCGATTATTGATCATCAATAACACAGGTAATGATGTGTTTCAAATGTAGTATGGATCCATGGATTAATACTTTATCCATAAATTGTTAAATAATATTCTGTAGGAGGGAGATACCACATTTTATTAGTCACCCATCACAGATGGATAATTTCCCCCATTAATTAGTTATATAAATATTGCTTTTAAAAATGTTAATCTGTACATTCTTTGTGTGAACATAAGTATTCATTTTTGGGGGGGATCATCCTAGGAATACAATTGTTGGGTTACAAGATGATGTAACTTTAAGGATGTCCAAACTATTTTTCAAAGTGAAAAACTTTATATTCACACCAGGGTTCTAATTTCCGCATAGGCTTGCCGACATTCATTGTTTCCTGTCTTTTTATTCCACCCATCACAGAGTGTCTAGCGATACCCTGTGGGTTGTATCGGTGTTTTGCTAAGGCTCCTGGTGTTGAACATCTCTTCGTGTGCTTATTGACCTGTTCAGAAAGAGTTCTTACCAAATTTTAGCAGATTTGCTTGAATAAATATTTCTTCATTTTCTATATACCCTTGGGACAGTTTCCAGAGATTTTTTTACTAGTTGGGTTTTTATTTTTAGTAATTTTTATAGTTATTAGTCATTCTTCTGCAGGAGAGGGCTGTGGAGTCTTTCATATAATCACCATTCAACAGGTTGCTTTCCTGTTATCAAGAGGCATTTTGAAATCCAATTAATAATCTTATTGGATTTCAAATAATTAATTAATTAATTAATTAATCTATCTTACTCAGTAGTAAAGTGAGCTTTAGTAAATTTGATGGTTAATTAGTTAGTAGGAATTATCTGTCACTAAAACCTCCATTCCAAGATTCTAGGAGAAAACAAAAACAATTTCAAAAACCATGTGGTATTTTTAAAGATTTGTGCATTATCTAAGCACAAGCAAATACTCATACAAAGTGAACTCCTTGAGAAATGCATAGATTCTTAATTCACAGAAGCAGGCATGTTACCAGGTGGAAAATATCCTCACGGTCCATGTTATAGTAAGTGACATTAAAAGACATTGTAACATAACTACACAAATTGAGATTAATTTTTTTAAGTTTGTAAATATCTGTTAAATTACATCTCAGGGGCGAGCATTGATGAGTTTGTCCATGCCGTGGAGCGCCAGAGCATAGCTGTGGAAGTAGATGCAGCTGGAACTAGAAATGGTATAGATGACCCTTCTTATAATGGAGCCATTATAGTATTTCATAATGAAAAGGTATGCTGGTCTACATTTAGTAATTTTACCAAAGGTGTGGGAAGATAACATAATATGAATGTACTCCAGCCTCCAATTTAAAAAGCAAAAATGAAAAACAAGTACTGTTTCATTTACTTGGCAAATTGCATTCCTTGGTATAATACATGATAAATTTATATATCTATCACTATTTACCAATACAAACTGTGTATATTAGCAACATTCATAGTGTAAAAATACCCCTTGTCAAGTGTACATTTATGTGAAAGAATCTGTAGTTTATCTCAAGGAGCTTTCTAATACATATATCTGGAACTTCTGATTCATTCTAAACAATAAACACCCAAAACCTGATTCTATCCCTAAGCAAGACACTAGTGTCCTGAAAATCAAATGCATGGTTTGTTTGTTTGTTTGTTTACTATATACATGTTTTCTTTTATACTAGTATTTGTTTTTATTTCCACAGTATTTTTTGCTTACAAATTGTTTGTGAATTTTAAAAAATTATTTGGCACCACATTAAAAACATAATCTTGGGGCTGAAAATGTGACTGAGTGGTAGAGCGTTTGTCTAGCATGTGTGAAGCCCTGGGCTCTAGCCCAGCACTGAGAAAAAAAAAAAAAAAAAACAGAAACAAACAAACAACAAAAAAACCCCAAAATTTTGAAAAGTGATCTCAAATGAAAGTATTAAATTTTGGCTTCTATGGGGGAAAAAAACCACAAAGATCTTTGCTAATTCATAAACTTGTCTGTGTTTTAGAAATACGACTTTTTATTAGCATGCAATACCAAAAGACTGAATTGCTTCCCAGTTCTCATGGATGTTGTTAGTAATGGGCTACTTGGAATGGTTACACCATCAGCACATATTCAAACTGAGTGGAGCACATTTTTGAGGGTGAGTATAACTCTTACGGACTCTCCTCCCAGATCGTGCTTTTCAGAGCTGGTATCTAATTCTTGGTGAGTGAACCACACTGGTATACATTAACATTTGGATTCATGCTGTTTCTGCAGCTCTGGAAAATTCAATCTACTTTTTTAGAGTTTCAAATGTTTTTAAAATGCAAAGTAGAACTAACAAGACATTTTCCAAAGAAAAAGATGAAACCACAAAAAAGTGAAATTGTGTGGCACTGTGACTAGCAAAAAAAATTAATGAACCAGAAAAACGAGGAGGTACTAGAGGAAAGCAGACAGGATGGCAGGAAGGAAGGAAGAAGGGTGACGTTTTCACAACTTTAAGAAATGCTACAAAAGAAGAAAATTCAGGACAAAGTTAAGCCTGGAATTGCACACTGTTGACGTTAGAACTAGGCCAGGTTCTTGTCCAAAGTATTCATTCTTTTGGCCTTCCTTAGACCTACTAGGCGAGCTTTCCCAAATACGGGATGAAAAAATTCCTGTTTCTAAACAAAGGCCCAGGAGGCTGGAATGCACACAGCCCGTTAACTTGGGAAAACAGAGTAACTATGATAGCTTATAATGATTTGTTTACTTCATAAATAATTTCACCCCTTTGGAGATACAGGGATCCTGTATTTCTTAAACACATGTGTATCAATATCTTGTACTTAGGAAAAGGTGTAGAACATAATAAGCACTAAATAACTTATTTGTTAAAGACACAAATGGATGCAAGTGGTCCTCAAATTGTTTCCATCTCACACAACTCTAGAGTTCTATGATAATATAGATGGGCATTGATCCTTTACACATTTTTATACAGAATGAACCACATATCCATCATTATTTTCATATGCCCAACAAAAAATTTTGTGTCACCTTCTCATACCATCTCATTATATGCTCAGGAAATAAAGATGTCTTTCATTAAGGGTGCTTAAGGAATTTAATAATTAAAGCCAAAGGTTTTAGTCACACATTGAGCATTAATTAATCTTAGAATGTGTGCTGTGATGGTTCATGAAAGAAAAGTGACCGCAACACTCGGAGCGACCAAGAGATCTTTATTGCAGCAGTGCAACAGAGGAGGAAAGAAAGAAAGAGAGAAAGAGAGAGAGAGAGAGAGAGGAAGCGCGCGCAAGAGAGAGATAGAGAAAGCAAGAGAGAGAACAAGAGAGAGAGGGGCCCGGCGGGAGGGAGTTTTTATAGCCCAAATCTAATGAGGTCTTTGGGTCTGCAAGCTGCCTTGTTGGCACAAGGGGGGTTAAGTGTTCGGCTTTGAGCAGGGGGTTGAGTGTTCAGCCTTGAGCAGGGGCTTGGGCGTTTGGACTTGAAGCAAATAGTTGATAAAGAACCAGACAGAGGGTTTGAGTGGCCAGGTCATCCTGCAGCTAACTTTGTTTGGCATGCCCTGCAGACAGCTTACTCAGCCTGTCCTGCACCTAACAGTTCATTTAACCATCAATAACTGCGAAGGTCTTCTCAACTTTCTTAAAGCAGGATACCTAATTTAGTAAATTCCCTCTCTAGGGGAATCCTATTTTAACTAGACTGAGTCTAATACCAGCCGGCTAGTTCATCTTGTATTTATGTACCCCACAGATTTACTTTAAACTCTATCTCCAGCAACTCGTTTTATTGGTTGTTCAAATTTACCTTCTCGTTGTCCCCAAAGTAGGAGCTACCTGGAGTTTCAGACTGCCATGCCCCTGTCCCACCCAGAGTCAATGGTTTCACACTGAAGCCTGAAGGGGCCCACACTCTGTGTGCGCCAGGAGCATGACAGTAAAGTCACTCTCATGATTGATTTTGTGGTTAGCAAGAGTCTTTCTGAGGCCCCAGCTGAAGATAACCGGGATGTGGTTATTACCCCTGCATTGACTTCCAAGACAGGTCGCAATTATTCCATCCTTAAAGAGGGTCATGATCAGGAACAGCAATAAATTTTCTCCCATGCTTTCATTCTCCTTTCTCGTACTTCACCTCTACTTGTGAATCCTCAACCAAGATTGATCTGGTCTCTCGATGTTACTGGGATGACTTCTCACTGGCTGAGAAATATGGTATTTGATTTAGGTAGGCTATCACATTCTAAATAAGACCTATTAGAAAATTCCAAGTGTTGACTCTGAATTATCACTTATTACTTAGCATCAGAATAAAGTTTAGAATGCTAAGGTAAGGAGAGGGTTAAGGAGAGGTTTGCTGCTACTACTTTCCAACTGTGGGATATGATTAACGTGTGCATGTTCTTTGAATTGATTTCCTTACCTATAAATTTGAGTATAAAGTCAAAAGATTAAAAGTGAAGCTTCAAAGCTATAATAATAATGAAAGGACTGAGAATCTCAATAGGAACCTGCAGCAGGATTCCATAAAAACATTAACATTGATTAATGTTTGGAATTTTATTGCAGAAAATGAACTTAGAAATCCCTACTTCAGTTCATTGTGCTCTTTGCTTTTCCAGAGAATATGGGATAATCCATTTGAAATCCTGGGATACACCTTATTCTGGCTGGTTTTGGCATCCAGCTGCCCTCCTTACATTGCCATGAGCAGCATTGATGATTACAAGGTAACAATGAGTAATGAAATTTCCCACTAAATTGTTTAATTAGCAGATAATGGTAATATAAGATTTTCCATGAAGATACTTATGCATATATAATTGAGCATTCAATTCAGGCATAAATTCTACTGAATTAAAATAATAGGAAGTTTCGTAAGTGGAAATATAAGTATATATAAATAAATGGATAATAGAGAATGATTCTAAAATTTCTAAAGATATACAAAGAACCTTGAATAGACAAAATAACTTTGGAAAAGAAAAGACAAAAGTTAGAACATTTGAGCTTCTGACTTTTAAGTCTCATTACAAAGTTACAGTCATTAAGAACAGGTTGTGTTAATTAAGAATAATCTCACAGGTATCTGAAATGGAATAATCATTTCAAAAATAAATGCACACATATAATATCATCCGCTGATTTCAGTAAAACTGCCCAGAAGCTCACCTGAGGCTGTTACCCTCTAGGGGTGTTGGGTTTATTGTCTCCGTTCAGCAAAGAATTGAAGAACAGGACACAGAGATAGCAAGCAAGTGGCAGGTTTATTGCAAAAGCTACAGAGACAGACTTCTTCAAGGAGAAGGGGCCCCTGAGCCAGGAGTCCAGTGGAGGAGATTTGGGTTGTTCTTTTCATGGTCTCTGGAATTTCCTCCTTGTCTCCTCCCCTGTCCACATGCCCCTCACTGTCATTCATTGGTGCCCCCTCTGTCTATGTGTCTGTTTTAGTTTTTCTATTGGATCCCATGCTTAGGGACACAAGTATAGAAGTGTCTTTCTGATTGGGTACCCCGCTTGTGTCCACACGCACTTTTGTCAAGCAGGAAGTTGGCCTCCTTGGAAGACCCTCTCCATGTTCCTTTTTTCTGGCCCTAGCCCAGACCTCCTTACTCATCTTCTTCTCCTGGCTGCTTAAGCCTGTCCCTATCTCCCTCGGGGTTAAGGCTAGACTTTTCAGCAAATTGGGATGGGACAGCTTGATACCATTATGAGAAAAAAAAAAAAGTGATCTTAGCACAAACCTCACACCAGACACAAAATTAATTTGCAATGAATCATAGACCTTGGGGTAGGCAAATATTTCTTAGATGAGAAAGAGGTACTATAGACTATAAAAGGGGAAAAAAAGAGATAATCTTGAACTTCATCAAAGTAAAAGTAGCTTCTTCTCCTTGTATAAACACCAATAAAGAAAAAAAAAAAAGTCAAGTCACAGGTTGATAGAAAAATGTCCATACTACTTATGTATCTGACAAAAGACTTTATCAAAAATACGTAATGAACTGATACCTCAGTAGTGAACATAAGTCAATTTTAAAAATGGGCAAAATATTTAAACAGATACTTCACCAAAGACAGACAGATGGAAAATACTGCCATGAAATGATAGCTAAAACCATGAGTAATAAGAAAGTTACCCCAACAAGATACTTCTACATAACATGAATATTGTTGAAATGACTGGAGAAATCAAGTTTTTGAGGAGTGGTGAAACTAGTACCTCTCATGCACAGCTGGTGACCATCACTTTGCAAAGCAATTTGACTGTTTCTTGTAAAGTTAAAAATACACCTCCTGCTGCAACTCCGAAACTCTTCTCCTGAGTATTCAAGAAATAAAAGCCAGGTGTGTTGGTGCACACCTGTAATCCCAGCAGCATGGGAGACTGAGGCAGCAGAATCACAAGTTCAAAGCCAGACTCAGCAACTTAGTGAGATCCTGTCTCAAAATAAAATATCAAAGGGGCTAGGAGGATGTGGCTCAGTGGCTAAGAGCTCCTGGGTTCAATCTCCCAGTACTGGAAAAAAAGAAAAAAGAAAAAAAAAAGAAAGTCACATTGACTTGAACAGAAGCTTTATTCATACTAGTCAACAACTTTAAAAAACACAACTGTTCCATCAAGATGTGAACTGGTAAATTCTGGTATGGCCATATGATAGAATATTACTCAGCAATGTAAAAGAATAGAAAATAATAACTCCATTGGTGTGGAGGAATCTCAGAACCAAGAATGAAGACAGACGCAAAAGAAAAAATACTAAAGGATTTCATTTAAGTGAAATTCTTAGGTAAAACTAACCTATAGTGACTAAAGGCATGTTTGTGGGTTTTTTGTTTGTTTGTTTGTTTTTTGCTTTGTTTGGGGGTCTTTTTGTAACCAGTAGTAAAGGCTTTTGAAAGGAGCACAAGAAATTTGGGAGAATAGTGGAAATGCTCCAGGCCTTGATGGTTGTGGTGAATGAGTATATGCATTCATCAAGCCTCATGCAGCTGCATATTTATTATGGGTACTTATTCTTGTTTGAAAACTATACTTCAAAAAAGTTTACTGGAAAATCAATGTTGAAGTAGAAGGAAATGACATGTTGGAAAACTCAGACTTTAAAAAGTTAAACTCCAGTGTTGAGCTGACAATTTGTAAATTGTGATTCACAGTTTTTCATTCACCCAAATGAATGGTTTATGTGTCCACAAATCACCCGAGCATCCTGCTAAAATGAAGATTCTGATTCAGTAGTCAAGTCTTGAAGGGCAGTCATAGGGTGGCACGTTTATATGACCATCTCAGGCTACGCTCACAGATTGCAATAGAATATATTTTAACATTCCATTTTTGTTACTCTATTATATAAAATCCATGAGACCTTGCAGAAGTATCCCTGTTTCCTCACCTTCCTCTGCTTCACTTCCTGCCTCTCCCAAACTAGTTCCGTTGCCCAGGAAAAGAGAACATGCCCCACGTACTGTTCCCTTTCAAGGGCAGAATCTGCAGGAATCCTAAGAGATGCTGTTCCCAGATGTGACAGAGCAGTCAGTCACTCTGGAGTTAATATTGTCCAGACTTTAAGACTTCTCCTAAGGAAACCGCCAGAATGAACTTTCTTTGGCTGTACCACAATTTCACCGTCTTTATCCTAAGACCTTGTCTGTCATTTCTCTGTTTCTTTGGAGGTTTTTAGCCCTCTGTATAAGTTGGGAAATCCTCAGCTCTCAGCTTGGGGCATCCTTCTCATGATCAATGCTATTGTCTCCCAGCTAAGCTCATCTACCATTAGGGTTTCGGATCCTCCCTCTCTGCTGCTCACTCACAGATTGGACTCCATGAACCATCTCTAATTTGACCTCTATTTTGACCTTCAATGTGACTCTAGATTCCCTCTCAGCATTTCCTTTGTAAGTATCAGAGAAGTATCAAATTTCATGCTTGCAAAACTGAATTTGGGATTTTCTTAAACACATCACCCCTTCCTATTTTCTGTGTTCTTCAACAGAAGTACCAGGTGCTCTGTCACCCTCCCAGCAACCCAAGTTGATCCTTCCTTCCTCTCGTCCCAGTGTATCTAGTCAATCACCAAGTCCTGATCCATTCTCCCACCTGAATGGACCTGTGTGATGTTGGGAGACTTTGATATGAATTTTCAGGTCACATTACAAATTAGTTAGGAGCATCACCTAACTAATCAGAGCCCACCAACACCTGAATTTAGATGTTTTTTAAAATGAAAAAAAAATGATTCCACATTACTAGAATAGTTCAATGTATAAGTGTGCTAAAATCACATCAATTGTCATGTAGTTTAAAAATACATAATTTAATGTGTTTTTTCAGAGAATAACAAGAAATACAAATCATATTTATATTTATGATTCTCTTTTATGTACATACACATACGTATTTGGATGGGTAGTGAGTATATGAATGTGGACTATGACAGAACCACCCTCACTTCTTTTATTCAGATGAAAGCATAAAGCAATTATATACCTATGATTACGTGTGACTTGTGTGATTATATACTTCTATATGAAATGTATAAAGTATATAAAATACAATACTATATTTAATGGTGTATAGCATGCATACTATACACAATGTATAATTAAAATATATTTAATTATGTATGATATGTAACAATATTAATAATATGTGATAATTAACATGGTGATAGCTTAATAATATTAATTACATAACTTATACCCAATATATGATATATGAATTTTATAAAATTTATAATTAATAGTGTCCACAGTAATTATATATTTATATTGAAATTATACATTGCTGTATACATTATATGTTATAATCATATATGTATTATATACTACTAGGTATAATGTATAATTAACATACTAAAACTATTATATATTACATGGGAATGTCTTATATGGTATATGTAATTAATCAAGCCACATTTAATTATGAATGTTTTCTGGGGTGTTTGAAAACTGTGGTAGTTTAATACTGCATCCTACCTAGTATTACCTATGCAGAACTTCACAGAGGGACAGAACAGGAGTCCCTGGTGGGAAGCAAGCAGCTGAGACAGATGGACTCCGCCTCCCCCTGCCCTCTGAGCCACAAGGTCACCCATCGTCCACGCAGCCCTCTAGCCTCGGTTATTCTGAGGTCTTTGTCGTGTTCCTTATTAGTGTCCTTCATTAAAGCAGCAGATGGACATTGGTGTCCACAAATAACCCGCACCTTTCAGTCCAGAGCCATGATCCAGAGCCACCACAAATAAGGGTTTTGTTTCAACAGTCTCTAACTTGGCCCGCATTATCTGAAGACTCAGGCTGAAAGGTCCTCTTGTGTCTTTGCTCTCTCGTAACCAGAACAGCGTGAGGTCGCTGCTGCGGATTTCTGGCCTCTTTCCTTCCGCCTACTGGCTCGGGCAGGCGCTGGTGGACTGGCCGCTGTACTGCCTGTTTTTCCTTTTTATGTATTTAATGGATTACGTCTTGAACTCCCAAGAGACTGTATTTACGCTTGTGAATTATTTCATTCAAGTAAGTGACGATATCCATAAAGCAAATGGCATTTTTATTTAATTAGGGGATTTGAATATTCAAACTCTTTTATTGGTAGCATGTTGTCATAGATTCAGTGACTGTCAAATCCTGTGCCATAACAATGTTGTGAAGACGAAATGTCCTCCGAGATTGCATTTGTGTTTGATTTCACATTCCTGTTGATTTCAGATCCTGTGTGCTGTTGGGTATGCCATATCCCTTATCTTCTTGACATATGTGATTTCATTCACCTTTCGCAAGGGGAAAAAAAATAGTGGTATTTGGTCATTTTGCTTCTATGTTGTAAGTATGTTTCTTGTGAACACTTATATATTTAGCCTATGATTTGAATTAATATTTTAAATTTTACCCTCAGTAGAATAATAAATTAATATCGCAGTCTAAAATAGTTGACATTTTCCTCACATGTGGATTCTTTTCAAAATCTGCATCTTTCCCCCATCCCATTTCCATTCTTGTCTTTCTTTAAAGGTGACCAAATTGTTTCTAGAATTATAAGTTTTGAGCTAAAAGGAAGTCTGGAGACTATCTACATCTTTGTTTTACTGCAAAACAAGAAAATCCAAAGCCCTTCACAAACTTAAGCAATTACACATTCCACTACTAGCATAGTTAAAACTAGAATGTACTTTCTCCAAACTGCCTAAGAAAAAATTAATTCCACAAAACCACACTTCTTTTGTCTAAATTAGGAGGGAAACTTTGTGTAACATGTGAGTAATATAATTTTCTGTGACTTCAGGATACAAAAAGTAACTTATTACTTCAATAAGTACCTACTGACTTCCACCAAAGTGTGTCACAAATGAAGACTAATAATAGGGAAGAAAAGAGATATTAAATAGATAAGTTTCATCCTGAAAGAGTTCTCAGAGGAAAGGCAGATAATAAATAGCCACTTATTAAAACTGGGTGGTAAGAAAAGATTGCCTGCAGAGTTATATTCTATCTTAAAAGTCTGTTACACAATGGAGTGATAAGATGCTTGTAGAAACCAGAGAAGGGTGTTACCTATGAAAATGAAAGCAGAGATTTTCTTTAGAAAGTGAAACCTAGCTGGGCATGTTAGCACACCTCTGTAATCCCAGTGGCTCAAGAGGCTGAGGCAGGAGGATCACAAGTTTGAGGCCAGCCTCAGCAACTTAGTGAGGCCCTAAGCAACTTAGCAAGATGCCATCTCAAAATAAAATAAATAAATAAATAAAAAGGTCTGGGGATGTGGCTCAGTGGTTAAGTGACCCTGAGATCAAATTCTCAGTCCTCCCCACCCCCCAAATAAGAAAGTGAAACCTCAAGAAGAGCAAGATTTCAACACATAGAGGGAAGCACAGAGATGCCTGTAGTGGATAATGGGTGAGCAGGCCTGCAGGAGAGAAGCCAAGCTTGTCCTAGGAATGGCTCACCATCTGTGAGGCTGTGCATGGAATCAAGTTGGAGGACAGGGGGTCCTCATCATGGTGTATCAATTTGCACATGGCTAGCCTTAAAGAATGTGCTCAGGAATTTATTCTCTAGGCTGTGAGAAGCCATGGGTGCCTTTAACACAAAGAAAAAGAAAAATATTCTCACAGCCACAAAAAATGATGATCTGTGAGACAAAGAAATCAGAAGCGCTAAAGGTTTGAGAAGCCCTTGCAAGGTTTTGGAGGAGACAGATCCAGGGCTTGGGATGTTCCTGTGACTTTCTCTTGTCCCTGAATTTTGTGTTTTACACGTTTGCCTAAGCCACTCCGGGTTGGTGAATGCTTACCTTTCCGAACTGAGTCACCAGAAGTCTCCTTCCATTGTTGATGGTGTTGTTCCTGTAAAAATATCAATTTCAATTTTTCCCTATGTTTATTGCTCATTGACTGTTCTGAGTTTTATCCCCAAGAAGCACTATATGCCAACTTTTTATTGCTTTTCTGTAATGAAAATATTCTGCGTATTGGGTTCTAAGTTTATCCAGTCATATCTTATTCATGATGCTCTAGGCCCAAGGAATTTATTTATGTCACTCAGAGAAAATGTTAATGGAGATGTGTGTTGATTTCAGTTTGGGTCATGAGGTTGGAGTTAAAATTCAGAATGCAATACCTTTAAGATGAGCTGCTCCTCGATTTGGAACATACATTGAGATTCAGAGAGATTAACAAGCATATTTGTGTTTTCCCCAGGTAACTGTATCCTCTGTGCTTATATGTGTGTTGGAAAACTCTGAAAGTGTTCCACTATTTTTCATCACTTTTTTAGTACCACAAGCCACACTGATTGGCTGTCTGTTCTTATATTTTCATGTGAGTAATGCCCCTGTCTGACCCAGTGTGAGAAACACATGACCAGCTGTGAAGGCTGAGTCTGTGTTGGGGTTCTGCAACATGCAGATCATACAGGAAGCTTAAAATTTTCCACCTCGTGGATTCCAGTGATTTTCTCTTTATGGGACGATGTGTTCCAACTGACCTGTAATAGAAAATGTGGCCCTGATTAAGAGGCCAGGAGGAAGGGGATGAGTGTTGGAAAGAGAGCAGCCTTCACGGTCATTCTCTCAGGCATGCTCAGCTTTAGAAGCAAGTGAGTCAAGTGCCCCTAACCCTTGAGCCTTCAGGATTCTAGAGAAGCATCCAATATGATTACAGTCCCTTTTCCTCTGGCCAGCTGCTACAAAAAGGAGAGAGGAAGGTGCAAGAGTGAAGAGGTTCAGTGGGAAGGGAACAGAAGGGAAGGGACGCTATGAGAGAAACAGTGGGCATAGAAAGGCACAGTGTGGCCTCGGTCCTGGGAGGCTGGCTCAGATCCCCCGGATTCCCTCACCAGGCCATCAGGGATGGATACATTCTATTGCTTCAAACAAAAGCTCAGGGACCCTAGGAGGAAGGAGGTCAGGCCTCACTAGGCCATTTGGGATGGACACTTGCCTGACACTCCTTGGAAAATCAGAGAAAATGCTAGCAGGGCTGTTTGGGGGTGATTCAAATTGATGAGGATAAGATGCATGCAATGAAAAACTTCCTTTTTAACGGTTTTATTTCCTCTTGCAGCTTTTCATGTTTACTGTCTTCGATGATGAACAACATACTGGAGAACTATTTCTGGTCTTCCTAATTGTAAGAGCACACTCTTCCTTTGTAATTATTGTGCTTTTTACTGTACGCAACAATCTCAATTCTTAAACACACTCTGAAGTGTTCGTTTGTTTGTTTGTTTTTTAATTAAAGCAGAGATACAATATCTGTGGTCTATGGAGATTTAATGTTTATAAAATCTGGGAAAGTTATTTTACAAGGATGAACTGAGAAGATAATGTACTTCTAAATTTTGAGAACACCTCGATTGAAATGATGTAGCAATATCACATAATTGTAATTGTTTCTGGTGGTTTTGTAAATAAGATTGAAAATTAATATGATAGCATCCTGATTTACCTACTAGCTATTGGAAATTTGTAATGCTTTCCCTAAATACATTTGTGTAAAGTCCACTAACTCCTAATTCATCGCTGATACTTAAACCATGATCTTTTTGTGTTTCTAATTGTTCTTTTCTCTCTTTATTTCCAGCCCTTCCTTCATGTTATCATTTTTCTTTTTATTCTCCGATGTCTGGAATGGAAATTTGGAAAGAAACCCATGGGAAAGGATCCCTTCTTTAGGTTGGAAGAAATCAAATGAATTCTTTTCTTTAATTGATCAATGTTTTAAGATATTTCTCTTGTATGTGAAGCAATCCATTCACAAAGACATGCCTTGTGCTAGGCTGGGATGGGGTAGGAACAACTACCAGTACAAATAAAGAGACTTCAGATACCTAATCCAAAGATTGCAATCTAGGGCAGGAAACAGACCTGAAATATTAGATACAAAAATCTCCAGGCTGGGACTGGGGGCCCACATGGGGAATCCCAGCTACTGGGGATGCCAAGGCCAGAGGCTTGTCAGTTTGAGGCCAGCTTGCGTAATTTAGCAAGACCGTGACTGTCTCAAATTTTAAAAGCAAATAAATAAAAAGGTCCATGGATATAGCTCAGTGGTAGAGCACACCTGGGTTTAATCTCCAGTACTGAGGGTGGGTGGAAGGCTCTATCCAACACTGTCCTGTGGAGCACCCGCAAAAAGGTAAATCTGGCTGGTTCCGTTTAAGGAACAATTGATCTGAATAGATTGGTGGTTGGAGGAATGCTATCCATCCAGGGAGAGGAAATAGCATGGCCAACAGGCCAACGACATGAGTTAGTGAGCAGTCAGATGGTGGACCACAGACTGGTTCAGGTATAGATGGGACTTAGTGGCAGTGACTTCTGTGAACCATTCAGCGATGCTACCGTGACCCTCTGTGTCTCCTGTACCATTTAGGTCTCATCTTTCACTAGTACAGAGAGTCAGAGAGTGACTGCCAACAGGGAAATCAAGGGAAGAGAGAGACCAGAAACAGACGAGTTCTGAATGTGACAGGCCAGACTTAGGATGGCGAGAAAGAATAAACATGCATGGATTCCAAAGAAATGGCCAGGCTTCATGATGGACCAAGCATCTAATTTATATTTTCTGAACCAGTCCTGATTCCAAATAGTCTGGCTCATTTTCCCCATGAGAACATAATACCAACGTGTTGGGGTCAGAGCTAAAATTCTCAGAAAAATTGCTTCATGGAGCTACGATATAAAAAGTCTTTGTCAGTTAATGGGCTTCAGTTACCCCCCTGAAATAGAAAAACATATTATTTCTCTAGGTATGTAGAATGCAAGCTACCTGAGATGAGAGGGTCGCTCGGGGCAGTCCTGCTGTTAACAGAAGCAGGGAGCTTACAAAGGAGTAAGAAAGAGCTTACTGCACCGAAGGGAGGTGATGGTGGTTTGTTAACTGTGCAGCCTCCTCAAGCATAAGTTTGAAAGAATGCAGTGTTCTAAATACCAGGAGGGAGGCCAGAAGTCAATTGTTAATGGATGTGTTCAACTCTAGAATTTCTCCAAAAAGTGGTGATGTGTGTCAAAATCCAGAAGAACCCCAAGGGGAGAACGAAGATGTTCAGATGGAAAGACTGAGAACGGCTGATGCCTTGAATTCCACAGACTTTAATGAGGTAAAACATGTAAAGTGGCTCTTTCATCACATTATATGTACGTTCGGTGATGTATGCATCCACCAGTTCTCAAACCACTTGATTTTCTTTCAGCCTTACATGAGGATGGCTTCTTTAATAGGTTGTCGCCATTTTCCCATCTAATGGGCAGATGGAAAGTCAAGTTAGCTTTCTGTGTGTTTCTTAGAGTATATATGAAGCCAAGTGCAATTGAAATGAGGAAAGCCAGGAGAGGCTTTCAGAAACCCGAAGAAGCAATGCATGTCCCTACCTGTTGGAGAAAGTGTACGGTACAAAATTCAGAGTCAGATCCCAGCCAGGGCACGCAGTGTTGTCCTTTGAGGCTGAGACAGTCAAGTGCTTTTCCAGTTCCCTTTGCTCCTGCTCCAAGGCGTCGGGCAGGCTATATGAAATAATGTGCTCCGGAGTAGCAACTTTTGTAGGAGAGGAAAATGACACTGTCTCCTCTCCAAAAGTAAGTGCGAGTCTAGGAGAACGACCAATACGCACATCCCCTACTAGCAGAAGGACGTCTCTGATGCCAGGCCTAGGCGGCAGAGGGTCAAAGCAACGGGGAGAGAGCTGATGCTGTTAGTGGAGAGAACAGAGGTCTGACACGATTCACTTGACCTTCACAGAAGCCAGTCATTGTCGCCAGCTGTCTACGCAAGGAGTACGCGGGAAAGAAGAAGCATTGCTTCTCTAAGAGGAAGAGCAAAGTAGCCACCAGGAATGTCTCATTCTGTGTCAGGAAAGGTTGGACACTTCCCCAGGGGTGGCTCCTTAGAGCTCCGAGGTTCCTGGGGAGAAGTGCTTAGGCACCATGTCTGAGTTCACTTGCAGGTCGTGGAGGGTGGCCTCGACAGCTCTTTTCACATGTCTCACTCCTAAGTTAAATTAATTCGCTTGCCCCATGATTAGGGGCACAGTCACGTCTATGTTGAGCCTGTTCAAGGGACCCACTGGAGCCAGGATGTTGTTCTTGAATAAACACAGTTGGTTTCCTCATGGTCATTATTTTTCACAAGAGAACGGGCTGGGGAGGCTCCAGCATCTTCTGTAATCTCAACCAAGAGGTGGTCGATGGCCTCAATTTGTGTCATTGTCTCACAGTGGTTAGGATCACAGGAGGCAGACTCTGACACTCCTGGCTTCCAAGAGTGGCTCTGCCACTCCCCATCAATGTGACATTGGGCACATAACCTCATTTTTGAGAGTTTTTGTCCCCAAATACATAAGAAGAGATTATGATAATTTCTCAGGATGGTTGTAACATTGAAATGAGATACTACCTACAAAACACACGGCAAATATTAGTCACATAGTGAGACTTTAGATTATTATTCTTAATTTTACCATTACAATTAAATCACATTGTCACCATTTTTTTTTTCCAGGTGAAGTTTTAGGGTTGTTAGGACACAACGGAGCTGGTAAAAGTACATCCATTAAGGTGATAACTGGAGACACGAAATCAACTGCTGGACAGGTAGGTGAATCATATGGGACATATGTCATCGAGTGGTGCTCGGAATAAGTTTGTAAGCTGTGATAATTTTATAAATAGCAAGGTGCCACTCAGTCATTAAATGATAGACCAATATGTAGAATGTAGTACATAGAAGAATATTTCAAACGTTGGCACAGAGCTACACTCAAAACTGAAGCCCTGAAAGGGAGTAATTATCCATGATGTCAAAGGCAGTAAGAATTTTCTGCATCAGATCAGAAATCAAAAATCCATGAGCATCATCATCTTTCCAATATGTAATATTTTGATCTTGAGTTAAATTGCTTTAAGAAACCCCCAAAATATTTATTGGTTATCATCATTGTCCTTCACAAAGCACTTTGTTCCTGAAATATGTTTTTTTAATGAAAATATACTATTTCTTGGAATGTTTTTAGTGAATGGTGACAAATAAGCCACAGGGATGTGAAGTGGACTGGTACTTCAATTTCATTTACTGAAGTGGCCAGGCAAGCTCAGGTTTATCAAAGGGAGAGACATCATGGGATAGAAATAAAACTCTTCTCTGAGATTCTCTGGCAGAATCTTGAAAACTCCTTTGAGAAAGTATGTCCAGGGGGAGCACAGGACCAAATATAAAGGAGGAGGTCTGTGGAATTGCTCCATGGAAAGGGGTGGGTGGTCAAGCCCAGAGGGAACGCACAGCCAGGAGTACTACTGACAAGTAGCCTACTAAGAGGAGAGAACACAGGTGTTCGCCAGCCTCAGATGCCACCGCCACTGCCTAGTGAGAGCAGGTGTTCACCAAGGGGACCTTTGAGTAAACGTTGGTGAGTCAGCAAACCTTAACTGGACTCCCTGCTTCTGTAGTGACGGCCCTTCACCTCAGTCACCACCTGGACCCTAAGTCAACATTTAATTTCTTATTAAGCATTCGAGTAAAGGAGACATAACTGCTCCTTGATTATATTGGGACAAAATGTTTTAAAACCTAAGTAAGGTCTGAAATACAAAGTCAGCCATTGGCACGTCCAGGAATGAGCTGAATGGGATCAACCAGCAGGATGTTCTCGGCCATGTCATTCTCTTGCTAACCTTGCTCTGGGACTGGCAAGTCACCTCCCCCTTGTCTTATGGGTGGTGGCAGGAGTGGACTGCCATGTCCTTCTGCTACACCTCTGTCCCTCTCCCCTTGCTCGCTCTGCTGCAAGACTGCTGCCTCTGCCTCAGGTCCAAGAAAAACTTCATGCCTTCATGGGACTTTGTTCTCAGCCTTTGCTCTGCTTCAGATCCCCTGGCCCCAGCCTCTTCCGTGACTGGCACCTTCTCTTCTGCTGAAATGACCCCTTCAGCAGACAGGTTCCCTGAACATCCACACCAAAGTCCCTTCCCCTGTTCTTCTCCACCCAGGCTTACAAATGTCCACCCCAGCACCCCTTCTGGCCCATCTTGGCTCTGTCCACTCATTTCTCCATTCCCTGATCCACTCGATAGACTGAAAACTCCAAACCACATGGCACTCATTACCCCGCCGTCCATTGTCCTGGTGGGCAGCACAGCATTCATCATGTAGGAGGCACCCAGAGACATTTCATCCATGAGAAAAGCTAAAGAGTGGGTCATTAAATTAAGGGGCCTTATTCAGTCAGTGTTGAAAACATTGGCCATCACTGGGGACCACGATGGCAGGGCGACCACACTTGTGGGATCCTTGGTGTTCAACTCGGATTACAACGCTGGCTGCACACGTTGATTTACAGGCACTGACCCTGACAAGCTTTCTCCCATGCACATGATCACAGATCATCAAACTCCAGGTGGCCCTGCAGCCTACCTAAGTTGGTGAAGAGAAGGCTGCGCTGGAGGGACTCCGAGAAGTACCGCCGAATGTAGGCTCTGAGTCAGACCCTTTATGCACAGGTGCTACTCCAAGGGAGCAGTGGAGGGGATGCCCCTGGGTTCCTGGGGTACTGTCCTCAGGAGAATGTGCTGTGGCCCAACCTGACCGTGAAGGAGCACCTGGAGGTGTTTGCCACCGTGAAGGGGCTGAGCAGAGGTGATGCTGAGCTCGCCATTGCACGGTACATGGGGCGCCTGCAGCTTCTGTGTCAGGGAGGGGAGAAGACTGGAGTGACAGCATCCACGGGAAACTCAGCACCGGGGGTGTAAACACCCACCCAGGTCGTGCTGGGTGGATGCCCATCTGGTAACTCGTTTACTCAGATTGATAAACATTGTTTTTTCTCTCTCTTATTAAATAAGGAGAGAAAATTCATTAGTAAACTTTATCAAAAAGACTGCAGTTTAAACGATGGAACAATAATTTGGATATCTTTCAAAAAAGCACTGTCTTTGTGGGTGGGGATCCGACCAGAGGGTGATATGCACTCCCCTCCCCCACCACTTGGCCTCTGAGCTCTGCTCCCCACCCTGGCCCTCCCAGCTTCCCCTCCCCTCAGCTGGCCTTGGGGAGCAGACTGAGGCTCTGCTGGGTTCCTTCAGGTTGGTGGATACGTTCAAGCTGCAGGATCAGCTGAAGGCTGCCGTGAAGACCTTGTCAGCCGGAATAAAGAGAAAGGTATGGGACAGGGCTCAGGTGGCTCTGTGCGCCCTGCAGACAGGTGCAGGACAGACTGCCCCTCTCGTTCCAGCTGTGCTTCATGCTGAGCATCCTGGGGAGCCCGTCAGTGATGCTTCTGGATGAGCCATCCACCGGAATGGACCCCGAGGGGCAGCAGCAGATATGGTGAGGAGCATTACCCCCCATGGGGGCTGGTACAGACCACCTGGCAGGGAGTGTGTGAACTGTTTTTCTCCTTTACAAATTGTCTCTTAAATTGTTCAATGTAAATATCTATATCTATATCTGTAGATCTATCTACACGCACACACACACACACACACACACACATATCAATTTCCTTAGTAAAACCAATATTTGACAAAAAAAAGTTTCCCTGATAACATTTCACAATCATTTTTCATTGAAGGAAGAATAAGCATCAATAGGGCTTGAAGGAGCTCACTCTGGGTACCACCGTGGCTCAGTACCTGGCTTAGGTTAGTATGGACGTTTCTGTACCACTCCCGTGGTGGTACCCAGTATTTGTGTGAGAACAGTAGTCCTCCTTACATTGGGACTGTTCATCTTGTTGTGTCTATTTACTGTGCGTGTATTTTCTTCCCACCAGGTCGGGACCACACTGTTGATGATTGTGTCCTTCTGTTTTCCACGCAGCCTTTCTTCCTGAGCATTTCTCTCTCAATGCAGCCTTGTCATGACAATGCACTCTGTAAATGCCCCTCTCCAACGCACCTTCCGCACCTTCCGGCTCAGCAGCTCTCACCTGGCTCGCCCTTGCCCATCCTCCCTGTCTTCTTGAGTCCTCCCTTGCTTAATCTCTTGTGCTAACTATTCCCATTCAGGCCCAGTGAAGATTTCTTTTTTTTTTTCCTATCTATTTATGACTAATAAAAAAAAGATTTGCTAAATTACAAATACCCTCCTGACAATACAGGCAGGCAATCCAGGCCATCATTAGGAACACAGAGAGGGGCGCCATCTTGACCACCCATTACATGGCGGAGGCAGAGGCAGTGTGTGATCGCGTGGCCATCATGGTGTCTGGAAGGCTGAGGTGAGAGCCTGTCATGAGGCCACAGGTGACCACGAGGTGCATGTCTGGAGGTTTTTCCTGTGGACTGGGAGAGATCACTATGCGGCTGCACCTAGGCTTAACATGAGGACCTGGGGATTGGCCAGCAGCAAACCAAGGGTCTTAAACATTGCACCATACGCCTTTTCTTCCTTCCTCTTATGACTTCATGCTCCTCTGACCTCTAGGTGTATTGGCTCCATCCAACACCTAAAAAGCAAACTTGGCAAAGATTACCTGTTGGAGATGAAGGTGAAGACCCTCGCACAGGTGGAGGCCCTCCATGCAGAAATCCTGAGGCTTTTCCCCCAGGCTGCTCGGCAGGAAAGGTAAAGATGGTGCCAAATGTCCTCTTTGCCCTGTCAGTTACATCGATTTGTAAAGGAAATGTCAAAGAAAGATTATTCACTGGACACTGTAGGAAGTAAGTCAGAGAAGGGAGAGGTGGTGTAAAAGCCTCGGCCACATGTGCCAGGTACTATCCACGTCTCTGGTCATCTTCTTGAATCCTTGCAGAGATTTTCAAAGTAGATACTGTGATTCCAAAGAAAAGGAGATAATTTCAAAAGTTTTGTGAGAGTCTGGTGTTTCATAGATGAATTATTATCTGTATAAAGAGGGAAAAAATTGATGGGGAGACAGATCAGGTGCCATGACTAAGCTAACAAGTGACACAACCAGGATGTCAATCTAATCGTTTTGTTTCAAAGCTATTAATACTTTGAATTTTATATGGATTTGCATACTGGCACCATTCTGACGAAAATTAATATAGCCAAAGTCAAGGATTAACTTTAGGGTCGTTTTTCACACTTCAAATTTCCTGCAGAGGAGAAATTATCTAGGAGTTAGGAGAGAAAAAGGAAAATGAAAAGGAGTAAGTCATAATGACAAGGCAGAAAAATATGTTTCTACAGTGGAGTATAAATATAAAAGTAATGCTATAACTCAATGTGTGCCTGTGACTGCGTGGAACTCTATCACAGAGGTCCAGGGAATGAGTCAAAAAGATGAGAATAGATACCCTATAACCATATGAAATGCTATCCTACCAAATAAAATCTAAATATAAGATTTTCAAATGCTAGAGAGACAAACATTTATCTGAAAAATAGAGTATTTAAAATTACTATTGCTGGCATTATTTACAGAAATCCTGATCTTCCAATCAGAAGCTCAATGATATTACTGTACAGTAGGAGGACAGTGTGAGCCTGGTGGGGGAGAAGAGGTGTGGAGGTCCTGCAAGATACACCTAGATTTTACCCTTGTTGGGGAACTTGAAGAGTTGACAGTTTCAGAATGTAATTTAAGGAGGAAGCCAAGGATCAGGTGTTCAGCTTAGAAAGTTAGGTGGGAGGAGATTCTGCACAATTTGGAAGAACATCTGCTCCGTACATGCTCACTTCCGTGCAAGACACCAAGAACACAGATCTGTCTTACTCTCCCTCCCTGCAGCTATTCCTCTTGGGGAACCACTCCACTTCTGGTTAGAGATTCACCCTAGACTTTTCATTCACACCAAGCACACTCTACTGAAATAAAGACCCAGATACCAAACGACAGTAACCAAAACACTGTGATACGAATATAAAGACAGAAGTACAGACCAATGGGAGAGAACAGAGAGCCCAGAAAGAGATCCATGCCAACATGGTCAGTTGGGCTTCAACAAACAGGCCAGGAATACACAGTGGGCAAGGACAGTCTCTTCATCAAATAGTTTTGGGGAAACTAGATATTCACGTGCAGAAGAATAGAATTGGACCCCATTTTGCACTATACGTGAAAATCAATTAAAAGTGGATTAAAGACTTAAGCCTAAGACATAAAGGTATAAAATTCCTAGAAAAAAAATATAAGTGAAAACCCTATGATACTGGTCTTGGGGATGTGTTCATGGATAGGACACCAGAAGTGTTGGCAACGAAAGCAAAAATAAACAAGTGGGGTTTCCACGAACTAAAAAGATCCTGTACATCCAAGGAAATAATCCACCGTGAAAAGGCAGCCCACAGGGCGGAGGACTATTTGCAAACTATGTATCTGATTGATAAGGGGTTAGCATCCAAAATGTATAAGAAAGTCCTATACTGGCATAACAAAATAATAACAATCTGATTTTAATGACTCAAACGGACCTTTCCCCAAAGAAGACGCACAACATGTATATGAAAAAAGCATTCAGTGTCACTTATAATTTGGGAAATGCTAATCAAAATCACAATGAGAGGTCACCTCACACCTGTTGGAATAGTTACTATTGAAACAAAAAAAAGGCAACTATTGGCAAAGATGTGGAAAAATTGGAACACTTGCACACTGTTGGTGCAAATGCAAAATGGAACAGCCACTATGAAAAACAGTATGGAGGTTCTTCCAAAAAGAAAGAAAGGCAGGGGGAGTGAGAGAGAGAGGGGAAGTGGGGGAGGAGGGAGGAAAGAAAGAAAGAAGGAAGGAAGGAAGGAGAGAGAGAAAGAGAGAGAGAGAGAGAGAGAGAGAGAGCGCTACCATAATCATATAACCCAACAATCTCACTTTGAGGTATATATACACAAAAAATAAAATCAAGATCTCAAAAAAAGATCTGAACTCCCATGTTCATTGAAGTAGCAATGTTTATTTTTAAATTTGTTTATTTATTCTTTTTAGTTATATGTGACAGTAGAATGTATTTTGACATATTATACATATATGGAGTGCAACTCCGCATTCTTGTGGTTGTGCATGATGTGGAGTTTCACTGGTTGTGTATCCATATATGAACATAGGAAAGTTATGTCCAATTCATTCTCTGTCTTTCCTAATCCCATCTCTGCTCCCTTCCCTTCATTCCCCTTTGTCTAATCTAATGACCTTCTATTCTCCCCTCCTCCTGATTGTATGTTAGCATCCACATATCAGAGATGGCTTATTTGGGGGGATTGGCTTATTTCACTTAGCATGATAGTATCCAGTTCCATCCATTTACCAGCAAAATCCACAATTTCATTCTTCTTTATGGCTGAGAAATGTTCCATTGTGTGTACATATCACATTTTCTTTATCCATTCATCTATTGAAGAGCACCTGGGTTAGTTCCATAGCTTAGCTATTGTGAATTGAGCTGCTATCAATATTGATGTGGCTGCATCACTCTAATTTAGCCCGAGGCCAGCATAGGCTTCGTAAGTGAAGGTTTGACAGACTCTAATTATCTTTAAACCAGCTCCAGGATGGTTTCCTGTACCCCCAGCCTCAAGCTACCTATTAGAGTAGGGAGATTTACTGAAGAGGCCAGTGAGAAAGAGAGAACACGCCAAGGAGTGGACTTCTATTGGGGAACAAAAAATTCTGGGGAAAATCTCATCCAATGAAGAATAAGGGGGGGCAGTGTCCCAAGGTCAGGTGAGATGATTGGGTCTTCAGGGGTTGTAGCTAGGCACGCCTCCACATGGACAAGCCCTTGGAACCCAGAAATGTGGGGAAAGCTCTGGACACAGATGTGTCTAAGTGCCTCTCGCCCAGCCAGGGAGATAACTTGAATCACGTGTGAAGATGGCCTCCTACACTCGAATATGCTAACTTTAAGTCCATTGGGGATATGCTGAGGAGTGAGATAACTGGGTCAAATGGTGGTTCCATTCCAAGTTTTCTGAGGAATCTCCATACTTTTTCCAGAGTGGTTGCACTGAAGCAGCACTGTTTTTGAATAGCTAAGACATGAGAACAACTTATATGTCCACTAACAGATGAACGGATTCTTAAAAAAACTGTTATATTTTATACCTACAATGGAATACTATTCCACTTTTAAAAAGAAGGAAATTCTGCAATACATAACAACATGGATGAACCTTGAGGACTTTCTGCTAAATGAAATAAGCCAGTCACATAAAGACAAATACTGCATGATTCCACTTATGAGATAGCTAAAATAGTCAAGTTTATAAAATCCCAAAGTAGAAGGGTTGTTTCCAGGGACAGAGCTGGTAGGGGAATGAGGAGCTGCTAGTTACAGAAATAAATTTTCAGTTAAATAAGATGAAGAAACTCTAAAGATCAGCTGTTCAACCTGATACCATCTGATATGACATTAAACATTTTTTTTTTTTTTTTGGCACTAGGGATTGAAACCAGAGATACTTTACCACTGAGCTACCTCCCAAATGCTTTTTGTTTTGTTTTATTTTAAGGCAGGGTCTCAACATTAAGCATTCTTAACCATGTTTATAAAAGGTAGAAAGACCAGAGCAATGTTGACAGGTAGTTGACACTCGCCGTGGGTGGTCTCTCCTCTCCTCTCAGGTACTCTTCTTTGATGGTTTATAAGTTACCAGTGGAGGACGTGCAACCCTTAGCCCAGGCTTTCTTCAAATTAGAGAAGCGTAAGTACCGTGACTTTGAAATAAGACCCTGAAAAGAAGATATCTCTGAATTACATACAATCTATCCCTGTGAAAAATGAAATGTGACCTAATGCATTAAATTTAAAAATTGAAATCTCAAATTGAATTTTAGGAGCACCGGAATCATAGGCATTTTGAGTCTGTGTGTGGCAGAGAATGTTGGAAGTGATTTTTATCTTTGCTTTGAGGGGCTTTCTTTCCATGTGGTTTTGCATATATACTGGCACAACCTAAGTCCAAACTTAATTATTTGTACATTTAAAGAAAATGCTTTCTATTGGAACATGCCTATATACTCAAAATTCAATTTTCTATCAGTTGGCATATTGTTTTATTGCCTTGGGCAGTATACGAAGAAACTGGCTCCGTCTGGCCACTGAAACAATCTTCTTGGGTCTATTGCACTTCATCTGACCACACCCCATGTGTTATTAGAGGGTCAGGTTCTCCTTGCCATTTTAGCCCTTGCACTCTGCAACCTGGAGTGGTGCTGGTTAGAACTCCACTCTGTACTGTTTTAATTGTCACTGCTCTGTGATATCTTCACACAGTTGTCACCTGCCCTAAGGAAGAGAATTCGATCTCCGGGGTCTTCTAGAAGACCCCGTGACTCCTGTTGATAGCATCTGCCTGCATTCATGCTGACAATCCTCTTTCCATTCTCTGAGCTGAGCACCCAACCTTCCAGGCCATGTAGTCATTTCCTGCACTCCCTAGATTGGCACCAATCCCAGTACGCCTCTCAAACTTGAACCAGCGTATTTTCATTCTGCTGGGCTCCTATCCAAACTCTAACTGCCCTTCACCATCTATTTTGGTCAACAAGAAGGGTTTTCAATCTAACTAAGAGGTCGCTGCAGTGGCTTTTAGAAAGAGCCCCCTGTACACAGCCACTCCCTAGGAAACCTCAGATATTCTGTATAATCAGAGGCGACCTTTTTCAAAATGTGTCTTCTTTCCGCATCTTCCTGTGTTGGATGAGCAAAAACACCGGCTCCCATGCCGGGAAGAAAGCCTTATCAGCCTCATGTGCTCCCTTAAATCCAGATTTCAAAAACTGCACAGCCTATAAGCCTAACAAGAGCCATTATTTCCCCCCAAATATAAGTAAACTTCTCAGTTTGTTTTTAACTGGATGATGTGTTTAAGTCATGAATAAATATTATCTTCACCAAAAATTGAAATTGTCAAAAAAAAAAAAAAAAACGTATTATATGTACTACACGTTGACTTACGAGACCATCTGGATATAAAGATACATGATCCGCTAATGTTTGTCCATCCTCCCACAGTCAAACAGAGCTTCCACCTGGAGGAGTACAGCCTCTCCCAGTCCACCCTGGAGCAGGTGGGTCCCATTCCGGGATTTGCACCATCTGTGGAACCTGAGTGTGTGAGATGTGCCTGCTCTGCCTCCCTCAGAGCCGCAGGAGGCAGAGTGACAGGTGCCTCTCTGGGCTCGCCCCTCCCTTTCAGGTTTTCCTGGAGCTCTCCAAGGAGCAGGAGCTGGATGTTTTTGATGATGAACTTGATCCTTCAGTGAACTGGAAGCTTCTCCCACAGGAAGAACCTTAGGCCACGAGTACTCTGTGTTCCCGTGGAAGCCTGTGGTTGCTTTTTAAAGACATTTATTTTGGTAGCATCAATGTCATATTCATAGAAACCACATTATAAACACTGAGATGGCTCTTCGTGTAGAGAGAGGAGCGGCCAGCTTAGCTGCAGGGACATGGTGGATGGCCTGTCTGAGCCGCCTCCTGCCCCAGCCTCTGCACCCCAGAAGGCTGCTCTGGCTCCATTTTTCTGTAGAATGCTAAATAAATACGGTTACTTTTATACAACTAAGTTTCTAAGTATGATAAACAGACTTCCTTTCATATTTTTGAGTCAAAAATCTTAAAACACACTTTTCTAACTCACAGTAAGTATTCCATATATTTACTCTCTGAATATTTATGACACTTTAAAAAACTGATATCATCATAAAAATTTACTTTTTGAAGTAGATTTCAGTATGTTTGTTATGGCTAAAAGTCACACAGCATCATTCGTCATAGTATCTGATATCAATGTACTTAATACACCCATTGGCAGCACTACAACCCAGACACACTCTGCCAAACCAAACACCTGCCATTAGGAATAGATGGCACTTTTTATTTCTGTAAACCAACCGAGTCCCATTTTCATGGTATTTTCATATATAGGCTGCTGAGAGCCATAGCCAAGTAGGAATGACACATGGCATTTTTGGTTGAAAGGTGACTCCAGCAAGCCATTGAGATGATAATGATTATGTTAAGAAGTGCATTCAATTGGAGATTAGACCCCTGCTGTCTGCTGGCCTGCTACTTTGGAGCTCTCCTGGATTGGGGAAGTGCCTTAGGAGGGAATTCCGGAGGAGGGATTTCCTGTTGGTGTAGTGTGTCCCGGGAGAAGGCCGCATGCGTGGCATTCGCGGGAGTTTTGGAAATAAAGTTTGTTCCTACTTGAGTGGCTCGTGATTTTGTGCCCAGCCAGACTGTGGCAATAGGCCTCAGAGGTACCTGGATTATAATTGATCTTCCATGAATATTTGTCATTCAATTTCAGAAAGCTGATAAATGTAATAACAGAGCAAGTGATCAAGTAGGTTAAAATGAAAACTAAATATCATATATATATTTTGAAATGTATTTGTTATTTTGTGTACTTCATGTGATTTTTCTCTCTTGACTCAGTGGTCTGCTATTTACAAATTTCATTGAAATCCTATTAAAATAATTTCTAATGCTGATGATGAACTGGTAATGGGGTAGATACTGGATGTAATCACTTTAGAGTATTCTGCTATACCGGAACTTAGACTAGTGCTTTGGCTATTGGCCTCATTATTATCCCTCATCTTTCAAATATATTGATTACAAACCAATTCTAATTACCCTCTGTGACTACCCCCAATTCATGTATAAATCAGACAATTAACAGAGAGGTTTCATATTTCTATTTTGGGGGCTTAAGTTTACCTCTCTAGTTTATTTTCTGTTACACAGAAAGATGTAGCTTGGAATCCCTCTTTCGAGACATGTTTAGGAGTCAATTCCACCTCACTCCATGGAGTGATTCATTGTTAGTACTGAGGATTGCTTACTCTGCATATATTACCATGCTAGAGAGGACATGGTTTTTACACCAATGGGGCTTTCATCAAGAGTATGAAAAAATTTATGTCATAATTCATTTTTTTTCTTGAATAAACCATACATTTCTTTGTTAGAATATTCTTGGAAAAGGTACTTAATTAAGTACTTAAGGCAGCAATATATTTTGGAGTAAGTCTCTTGATAAGATGGGTGACTCAGGGGACCCTGGGAATTAAAAACTCCTCTGTGATTTATTTCCTCCCCCTCCCCCATGTGTGGGTTCAAATTGCTCTTGAACTCACCTGAAAAATTTATGATGCCTTCTACTCTCTACACCTCTCCTCAAAGCAGTGGTTCTCCAAGTGTAATCTATGTACCAATGTCATCACCATATAGGAAAACTTGCTGGAAATGCCAATTCTAGAGGTTCATTTCAATCCTCTTGAGCTAGTAACTCTGGAGGTAAAACCCAGCCATCTGCCTTCAATAAGCCTTCCATATAATTCTGATTCGTGTGATATTTGAGAACCACTAGATTCTTTGTCCCCCTCCCCAACCCTTTTAGGACTAACAAGTGAAAATGCAGTATGTTTTGATTAGTACAACTTTCTTCAATTTGTTAAGAACAAGGAATGGCTCAGGTGCACTGAGAAGGTTGAATCCCACCTACCATATCATTAGAAAGACCTATAAACAATTATTAAAAATGAGAGCCATGTATCTATCTTTAGGTGTCAATAAAAATTAAAAGGCTATAATATTTTATGTGATATCAAAATCATGATAGACATAAGCTTCAGTCATTTATTCATTTGATTTTTCAAAATGTAATCATTGGTGGCTAAAATTTCTCCTCCACTGTACTGTCGCTTTTCAGGGTAGGCACCATGTTTGTCTTCGTGGTCTCAGTTGCCAGGGCATGATGGATGCTCAGTAAATGGTCAAGTCAGTATCCAATACAGTGCAGAAAAACTGAAAGGGCAAGTGAGAGACAAACACAGTGAAACCGTCCTTACTTTAAAATAAGCTACATGGCTAAAAATGACCTGAATGTTGTGTGACCCAAGGTCTGTGGATAATTGAACCATGGCGACTGATCCTTCTAGTTAGAATCTGTAAGTTTCCGAGCTCCAGAAAAAAAACAGGAGAATTCAATTTCAAGTAGAAAATTCAGCAAATCAGATGATAGAACAAAGTTGTCATGAGCAGTTCACTTTTCTCAAGAGATGGACCATGTGATGTACCATGGACGGGACTTAATGATTTTTTTCAATAGATGTATACTATGACCCCCTTACGTGCCAAGTATTGACACAGCCACAAGAATATGAAAATAAGACATTATCCAGAAGCTAGAGTTTCAAGAATGATGTTGTACAGAAGGCTAGGAAAGAGAACTCTTTAGTGAAGGATCTTTCATGGGCATTCTTAAATCAAAAAGATGATTATTACCGCTTTACAGGTGCAGAATCTGTGTCATAAAGAGTTCGAGTACTTCGTCTAGGATCACATAGTTGGCAGAGCTGGAATTTGAATCTAAGTTTGCCTGACTCCAAAGCTTCTTGATAATTCCTGTGCATACAGAATGAAAACAGAATATGGTAAACGCATTGCCAACACAATCGCACAAGACCGAAGCGAGAGAAAAGCAGACGGTGGGCTCTTAACTCTTCCTGGTTGTTAATATAAAGCTCAAAGCAGAGAAAAGTTCAAGGGAAAGTTTCCTTGAACCTGAGTTCGAAAAGGTGGGTTACGATATGGCAAGTGGCTGCAGAGGCCAACAAGAGGGGCAAGGCAGAGTGGGAAAGAGGTGGAGTGACAGAGGGCAGGAAACCACTTCATCCAGTCCCCATTCTGACTTGGAGACGGGCAAGACCATCTCACCATGAGATGATTGTCTCAACCTAGAGAACTGGGCCAGAGGAAGAGAGAGGGGGAAACCAAAAAGTTCCCAGAGCTACTTATTTTCAGACCTGTGCCCTGAACCAAAGGTCTCTTGGCCAATGTTTGCACAATAGCCAGATCCATGACTAGTGGCCATCCCGTATCAGATTTGACTGGATTCTTTTTGCAAAATGTGAACAACAGCTGCTGAGCTCTTCAGTTGCAGCTGTCTAAGCAAGGACACATCCAAGTCGTGCTTGTTGAAAACTCTATGGATTCCTGTGTGGAGGGCTATTTCCTCTGCTTTTTCTCAAGAGAGTTTTTGAATAGCTGAGATGTTTAAAAACAAACACTGGGAGAACGCTATGTCTGTGTGGACACGAACTTCTGAAATTCTATGCTGCACATCCACTATTCAAAAATAGGAAGGAAGATTTTATTGTTGTTGTTGTTGGTCCAAAAGTTCAAGAGCCTGGCTCCTTTAAGAAATCCCAACAGGACAGGAAAAGAGAATTGGTGAAGAATTCAGAGACAGGGAAAAGTGAGCACTGGGAGGAGCGGGGTGGAGAGAAGGGGTGGACCCGCCACCATTTTGTATCATAATGAAAACTTGCTGGAGCTCCAGAAGGACAACAATGTAAGAAGTTTGGATAAAAGGAAGCAAAGAACGTCTGATAAGTGATTGGATCCTTTAAGACTATAGAATGAATTGGGCATATGTATGAATACGTGACCCGTGCAACTCCACATATGTGCAACCACAAGAATGTGATCCTAATGGGAATGGGTTGCACTCCATGTATATATAATATGTCAAAATACATCCTTAAAAATAAAGAAGACTACTTAGCAATTAGCACAAATATCCCTAGTCAAGGTAGAACTATGATAGCCTTATTTCTTCCCTCAAAACCACCCTGCAAGTTACTTCTGAAGACCAGAACTTCAATAATAATGCTTATTCTATTTTTACTTCTGTTAAACCAGGCAAACTAATTGTATGCTCTTAAAGTTTCCGGATGACAAATTGACCAGGGCTGTGGTAACAAATGACTATAGAATTAATCATCTGACAGTTCTCTTATGCAAGGAAGGAGATGGATTCTTAGCCCCCTTCCATAACATATCCATGTTGCATTTGGGATTTTGATGCTCCTAAGTCATATTAGCTATCTTTTCCCTCAGAGCATCTAATTACAATTTTAAATTAAAATACAAGCAGAGTGTGTTCTAGTGGATATTGAAACTCTAACCTTTACCTCCACTGGGGTTCAAAGACATTAAACAGAAGAACTAAGGCATTCTCAAGGCAAGGTTTTTAATACATTTTTAACATTAACACACAGAGCATTTTAAAGGGACCTTAAATTTTAAAAGACTGAGAAACACAAGTTTAAAGGTTTTTGTTTGTTTGTTTGTTTTTAATTTGGTCCTTTTTAACTATTTATTCCCTTGAGATTTTTGTATCAGCTGTAGAAAGCATAATGCAGGTTATTCAATAACTTTCAATTGTCCCGTAAAATAAATGTGCTTTTTAACTTAAATATGCAAGGATTTTAGAAGAAAATGACAGAACTGTTGCATATGGAATTCTCAATTTTTATATATTCCCAATCATATTGAAAAATGGAGTTAAGATAGCTTAGAATTTAGAAAAATGCAGCCACACTGTTAGGATAAAAACAAAAGAACACAAAATACCTAGACAACCTATGAGCTGAGGGAAAGGATGGGTAAGAAACTAGGCACATGGAAAGCAATACTCCATTTTTACAATTGACTTTAAAAGAGCACAGTGTAATTTTTCATCTGCAGATTATCTCAAAGGCATCAACCTAATCTGGCCAGCACGATTTCACAACAAACAAACACTTTAAAATGCCACAGCTGCTAAAAGAAAAACAACAAAAAAAAACCTCTGGGGGAGACAGAGATTATCAGTCGGGAACATTCCACAAAACAAAGGGGAAATGAACACTACTAGTCCTTGTAGATAGTCAAGAAAATAACTGTGCAATAGTGACACTCTACTAAGAAAAACTAAGGTTTTTTTTGTTTTTGTTTTTGTTTTTTTGTAAAAACAATAAGCACTCATATATAAGAACTTAAATTCATTTGTCTGGTTTTCCCAGATGCATTGGCAGACAACTTCCAGAAAAAGCAGCATGAGGGCCCTTTAATAGAGAGCAAATAGAAAACTGGACAAAAGCAATCATTTCAAGGTACTAAAAAAGAAATATATATATATATATATACAAAATGAGAAGTCGTCCCTCTTAGCAAAGAGCCACTGCATCTGGCTGAAGCCGTGGAGCATGGGACACCTGCCTGAGGCTTCGGCCCTGCCCCGTGCTCAGCCTGCAGAAGCTGCAGGGAGCGTTCCATGTGGGAAGTGGGAGTTCCTAGGCTGGCAGCAGAGACCTGCAGCTCCACACTGGAGATGGGAACTCTACTCAAGGCAGTAAGCAGACCAGCCAGAAACCGGAG